AATACTGCCTCTTTTTTTTTTTTTTTTTGAACAACTAAAAAAGTATTCATCGTTCATAATGAGAAATACTGCCTCTTTTTTTTTTTTTTTGAACAACTAAAAAAGTATTCATCGTTCATAATGAGAAATCTACCTGCTCGTATAAATCAGGTAAATAAAACAACCCATTATTATAGATATTTTATTTATTTTTTTGTAATCAGGGTAACAAGTGTACGTTAACGCCTGAAATGGAAAAACATGTAGAAAACAATAACAACTAAGAAGGGAATGATAGCAACGTAGGGAGGGAAGATAGGCGGCAGAGAAGCCAAGTAAGCTGTGATCACGACTAATACGAAGGAGAGACGATCTAAACCGAAAGCGAGAACTGGATGTGTTCGTGGAAACACAGCATTGGCCAAGAGGAAGAGAGATAATGCCCCCTGGATGAGGAAGGCTTGAATATAAATGCTGAGATTGAGGTTCGGACGTTGGGATGTGAAATTTATTCCCCAATCAAATACATAATACATGACGGATGAACTTAGATGATCCATTACGTGGAATTCACTTGGGGGTATACCATGTGAGGCACGTTCCACCGCGTAGAATGCGTTACCGTGATACCATGGAGCTCCAGTTGTCGACTGAGAAGGTCGCTGGAACACAGGGATCAAGGGATTCGAGTTGCTTTGGCTAAATGGGTTTCTGAAATATCGTGAAGGAAGCCTGTCGTCGTTTTGTCTAGGCTGGGTTGGACTTGGGTGAGCCGAAGAGGAAGAGCTCACGTTGTTCTGACTCTGAGTCACTGGAGATGGGGTAAATGGGTGTCCGAAATACGGTTGAGGAATCGGATTGCTGTCGTGTCCAGGCTGAGTTGGGTGAGCAGGAGACGAAGGACCCGTGTTGCTATGAATTGGTGGTGGTGAGTTGTCTAGCGACTCTGAATCTCTCGGGGTCATCGAGCCTGAAGGAGTGCTATCACTCGGATTTGGTGGTGTTGGAGTACTCGCGCCGGGACGAGAAGCTACGAGTGCCAGAAACGCAAACAGGAAAATCATCTTAGAGACTGAAATGGGATTTTATGCCAAATCTGTAAGGCTTAACCGATTTTTGCAAGACCCAAATGAACCTTTCGTTACGTGACCATCGTGTTGGCTTTTATACAGAGAGTACAGTCCGTCTGAAACGTCGAACTTTTGGGAAGAGAGAGAGAACCATTTAGAACGTCCAAAGTTCCCTCAACAAACACTTTAGAACTATTTGTTTTTAGAAAAAATTACACTATATGAGAGTTTTATGTTTTTAGTGTCCTAATAGGGCAGTTTTGGTGTTTCAAAAAAAGAAAGGCAGCTTTTTTTTTTAATTCTAAACTATCTAGTTAGGAAAAGCTAACTAAATAAGCTAATTAAATATTATCTTTTTCTTTTAAGTTTATCTGCCAAAACATCTATTTTCTCTTTCTCATTTTGATCTCTTTGTTTCTGTTAGGGGTGGGAGTTCGGGTACCCGTTCGGGTTCGGATCGGGTATTTCGGGTTTTCGGGTATTTCGGTATTAGGGTTTAGAACCCGTTCGGATATTTTTACATATCGGGTCGGGTTCGGATATTTTTAGTTCGGGTTCGGTTATTTCGGGTCGGGTTCGGATATTTAGATTTTGGAAGAAAAATTTCAAATTCTTTATTACTTAAGTTTTATGTATTTAAAATTTAACTATTAACTTAACTATTTTTAAAATGTTCAATAAGTTAGACAATTAATAAGTTTGAAAATAAATTATTGAAAATAAAATCATTATTTTGGTTGTTATTTTCGAATTTTGGATGCAAATTTTGTTTAAAGTATGAAATAAGAAGCTTAATATGTATTTTAAATAAGTAAGAAATCACTTTTTCTTTTTACAATTATATGTATATTATCTGATATTAAACTATTTATAACATTAATATAAATAGTTTAAATAAAATGAGACAAAATAAACTAGGAATAAATAGGTATAAATACATATGTTCGGTTATCTTCGGATATCCGTTCGGGTTCGGGTATTACCCGTTCGGATATCCAAACTCTCCTAACTCAATACCCGTTCGGGTATTTTGGTACTTCGATTCGGATTTCGGTTCGGATATTTTGGGTCGGGTTCGGGTACGAGTTCGGGTATCGGGTAAAGTGCCCACCCCTAGTTTCTGCAAGAAAAAATGTCTACAATTACTACATAACTTGACCTTTTCAAAATTGAAAAGAATCAAACCAACAACTCCAAAGCAAAGTTTTATCTTTCTCATATTTTTGTTCTTATTTTCTGTTGTTCTGAACCATTTGGTTTTAATTTTCATAACAGATCCAATTTATGTTCAAAACCGCTGCTTCAGTGGCTGTTGATGAACGATTACATGATTTAATGGTGATGAATCGTGGGGATATTACCTAAATCGAGAAGAACACAAAAAAGGAAAAAAAATCTCAAATTGTTGTTATTGGGGTCAAAAAACGTGTATGTATAAAGTTATATAGAAAAATCAAGTAAATTTTGAAAAGAAATCAGTTGGTAGTGTGAAAAATGAGTGAAAACTTTCACGTAACAATGGTGGCTGCGCAGAAGAAAAAATTAGGTTAAGGAAGAAGAAGATCTCAAAATTACAATTATACCCTTATTTAATAAAATAAATTAAATAATAATAAAAAGTGTACATATGTGAAGAGGTACACATATACAATGAAATATATGCCTACACAGTGATTATATTTGATGAGTATATATGTAACAAATTTATCATATGTACATATAGACCATTGCACATGTACACAAATTTATCAGGTATACAAGACCATTGCACATATGTACATATAGACCATTGCACATACTGGTGTACATGTGAGTTTTCATGAAACATTGCACATGTGGACACTGAAATATATATGTTCACGTTAATGATATATATCTTCCAAATGTGATATATGTCTTTGTGAATTATCTAGATCGTTGATTGGTTGGAATATAATGTGTAAATTTGACTTTGTAAAAGGTATCCATGAAAATGTTTGTCGAAAGTATCCAAGTATATGTTTTGTAATCGGAGTACACATATATATGTTACATTTTTAATAGTAAAAAGTGTACATATGTGACAATGTACAGATGCAGACATATAATTGTACACATGTGAATTTTGTGTACAATTTTTGCTAAAATAGACTTGTTTGTATCTACCTCTCACAAATGAGATGTCTCTCTCTTTTTTTCCGTCAAAGTTTTAATAATTAAGATGGGCCTAACCCAGAACAATCGAGTTTCCAATACAACAACATCCCTGAAGGCCCAACGGACAACATGCTACAACAAAAGACAGACGACGGGCCATCGGCCCAAACCATCAAACCCAAACGACGTTTGCGGATCAAGACAAGAAAGCCGACACGTGGCAAGATCTAGATCGTTCACACGGCACGCGTCACAACTGCCTCCACTTGCTCGCATCCGCCTCGTCGCCGTCGGAGCTTGGATACCGCCAAGCCTCCGAACGAAACCTTAAACCATTCTTCAACGCCTTGTCTTCACGTCGGCGAGTTCCATCGGTCACACACCGAGATCTCCTCCGACTCTGCAGAACTTCAAACCCTAGACAAGCGAACCCAAGAACCACTACTTTCTTTCCTTAAAAAGTCGCCACCCTTACCGGAGAACTTCATCTTCTTACAAGATCTCCTCCGAAGTAACACCAACACCCTTAAAACTGATAACTAGACCAAATAAACATAAATCAAAATAGTTAAAACTTAACCCAAAAGGTCAAGGGTTCCTAGGCAGCAGCAAGGAGCTTTGAAAGCCTCCCCTCCCCGCGACCAAAAGCCGGAAACGGCAAAGCTGACGGAAGCTCCCCTTCTCGGAAACTGAAGCGACGACGGTGGATCTGAGTAAGCCTCCACCTCCCGCAAAAAAGCCGCCGACGACGGATCTTTATTAGCCTCCGCCTCTCGGCAACACTTCACCACTACACACACAAGACGCTCCCTCTCCACCAAGAATCTTCCGACAATCGCGTCCGTACTCCAAAGAACCGTACTGCCATTGAAAATGGTTGCGGAATCAGAGCTTGAACAAGGCAATCGTTGACAGGGCTGTGAAGAGGGGTAACAGGGGAACACATACGACGAAACGAGGAGGGTTCCGGCGACGGCACGGACGCTCACGCGCCGGTCGACCGCCGGAAGTCCTCTAGATCCACTATCTCCCTCTAACTTTCTCTCTACCTAATTTACACTTATATATTTGGTAAGGATGCAAATGCGTTGGAGCTGTCTCTCTCTCTCTCTCTCTTTTTTTTAAAACAAAACAAAAGATTATATTAAAATTAAAGATCAGATGTAGAGATGGGTGCAAGCTAAATACTTGTCAATTTTCGGAGGCTTGGTACTTGCTTGGCTTGTTCAAGTATTCATATCCATGATTTGAACTTGATTTGTTTAAAACAAGTACTTATCACATCAAGTACTCGGGAGAAAAATTAGTACTTGTGAATTACTTAATTTGATTTGTTACTTGCTAAAATTAAATACTTGATTTTTGTTGAAAAATATTACTTCAAAATTGAAAATAAGCGTAATTTCTTGCAAGAAAAGGTGCGAAATTTTTTTTATCAAAAATAATTATTGGAAACTAATTTTTATTTGATTTCAGATACAATATAAATAAAAGAGAAATTATGTTAAATAAATAATGAGAATTTTATAAACGAATAATGAGCAATAGGTAAAAAACATTTAATGATAAAAATATTACAAGATATAAGGCTATTTGACACTTGATTTATATCTGTAAACAATAAGATCTATTGGTTTGTTATCCTATTTAACAATGTCAAGAACTTTATTTTGTAAAACGAGACAAATATACCGATTAGAAAAACATGACTCATCTAATTTTAAATTTAAATAGATTAATATTAAGAATCTATAAAAACTTATGCCAGTGTTACTAAAACAAACAAAACAAAAAAATTAGAACGAGTAACAAGTATAAACGAGTCAAATAATTAAATTTATTTAAAAACATGACTCATCTAATTTTAAATTTAAATAGATTAATATTTAAAATCTATAAAAACTTATGCCAGTGTTACTAAAACAAAACAAAACAAAAAAATTAGAACGAGTAACAAGTATAAACGAGTCAAATAATTAAATTATTTAAAGATTTGATATTTGGTTTGTACTTGCAAATTTTTTATTTAAGATACTTGTCAATTGGTTTGATTACTGAAAATACTTGATTTGATGCGCAAATACGAGTCGAGTAACGAGTATTTATGCCGAACCCTAATTAGATGGACTAATACAATTATAATCAGAAAAATATTCAATGGTAAACTGAAAATAACATAACTAAAACATTACAAAAATAAATTTGGCTAAGAAGAAAAGAGATTTGTAGAAATTTTTCACTTGTAATTCTAAAGTCTGTATTCGAAAAAACACAAAGAAATCAAACTTTAATGTTTAAAAAATCCAACCGATGACTTTTAAGAAAAACAAAAACCGTCTCTGGCAATGCTTGTCCCTTTAGTTTGTGTGTTTTCACACTGTGGGAGGGTGGTCAATTGCAGACTCCACCAAAGAAATACATCGCTTTCCTAGTGTGTCGCACTGTAACCTTTTGAACAAGACCCTTCAAAATATCACACAAACAAGTATTCAGAAAACTTCTTGAATTCCTGAATATTATTATTTTATTTTTTCCAAGATTTTAGGATTAAATTTCCCCTTGAAAAACACAAAATTTGCAAAAAATTAGTCTAATCTTTAGGTCCGGCAAAATCTTCAAAAAATATATAATCTTTTCTTTTGGTAGAGATGAACATATTATTTGATTTGATCGTTATTTAGTTTGATTCGACCCAAAAAATTAAATTTACACTAAAAATATAATTAATTTATATTTTTTTTTTGTTTTTTTTTTAAGGAAGATTGATGGGAATTATGTCGATTCTATTTGTCATCCATCACCTGTTTGTAAAGCTTTAAGTTTGCAGCGAGTTGAGACTTTTTCCTGAGAAAATCATGCATGGAAATACAGTAATAAATTACGTACTCTCATTTAATTTCTTCTTCTTATTCACTCACCAAAACAGTATCATGCATGATGCAACCACATTCAAATCCTTATCAAATCGCTATCAAACCCAAAACTAGCATATTTCTTTCAGCTTGCCTGCACCAAACATATGTTAACCTAAATAATCCAAACGTTGATTTTTGTATACGTAGAGCTAGAAGAGACTTTTTTTTTTGTTACCACTGCTACAAAGTGGGATTTTTAATACACACGTTGTCTTGTTGCTGCTATATCACATAATGAAATGTATGAAGCTTCAGAGGCATGACGGTGCCGCTTCAGATACTGTTAGTCTGTTACCTTATAAGGTAATTTGTGTGGAATCTTGGCTGTGAGCAATGCTGCAACTTAATAGACTCTGCATTGTCCACTGTCCTCACAACATACCTGAAATAGAGATCCATTTTGAGGAAAGACAGTGTCCACAAACGAATTGATGACATTAAAAATCAGAATCTCTTAGGAGATTTTTATCCCACTGAATATTCAATTTTGTTCTACATAAAAAAATTCTATGATTGAGCCAAACACTTACAACCTCCGTACAGAACAGAGATGTAACTGGATACATGAACCATGGCCTGGTTAAATAAGTTTGAGAGTCTTTTCTCCTTCTTCTGCTGCTTATCTCAAGGGTTTCAGTCCCAGAGATGCTCTCAGTTTGTTAGCTTCTGCAATTTCAGGATCAGGATGATCTGTTCCATCTTCCTTCATCTTCTTTGGTTCCTCCCTTTCCCGGTCATCATCACTGTTGTGCCTCTTACGATCCCTACTTCTGTTTCTACTTCTACGTCTTGCTCTGTCTCTTCTGTCTCCTTCTCTATCTCTCCCTCGTTCCCTCTCCCTATCTCTATCCCGGCCTCTATAGTGATCTCTGTCTCTCTCCCGATCCTGATCTCGACCACGCCCACGTTCTCTGTCATAGTCTCGGTACATGTCAGAGTCTCTATCATAATCACGATCCCTGCCAATAACAACAAAGCTATTGTCAAATTATAACTCATAAAATAACCAAATAAGGTCTCAAACACAATCATAACAAGCTATAACAAATAAAAGCACAGACTGTTATACGTCAGGCTAAGCTATTGTACACTGCCAGTACAGTAAAACCTGTAGGGATCTCCATTGTTTCAATTTCGGAAGCTGTATGCAACCTCTGATGGCTTGAAATGCCATAGAGGAAACATACATTCTAAAGACATAATACTGGACATGAATGCGTGAGCATTAGCCAGATCAAACAGCTTCCACATAAGAAACAAACATATCCCCAGAAAAAAAAATCTATAGAATGGTATATAGCAAAGGGCAAGGATCCAGATACCTGTGTCTATGACTGTCACGTCTCCCATCTCTCTCTCTGTCCCGCTCTCTTTTTCTTTCAGGACTCCTACGATGATGATCCTGTAAACGAAGAAGTTGGTATCAACATTGAGCTGCTAAATAGAAACAAAAATCAGAAGAAACACAAACTATTGCAGAGGAGCAAGCAGTCACCTTCTCATCTTCAGAACCGTCAGCAATCCCTTCATTCTCTTCCTTTTCTTCTTCCTCTTCAAAGTCATCTTCCAAAACACTTTTCCTAGGCTCTAAACTACCATTCTGTTCCAGCGTACACCTATAATCACACAGTAACAAATTAACATAAAACAAAAACTAACATTCAGCTACACTTAAACCCAAAAAATAAGAGAACAAACCTTTTCTTCAAACGTGGCATTGCAATATCACAAGAATAATCCTTAGTCAAAAGCTCCTCAATAAATTCATCCACATGTTTCAACTCATACCCTACTCAAAACCCCAAGAAGATAAAAACTCGTTAGCAAACAAAAACCAATCAAAACATTAATCCATTAAACAAAAAAAAAACTAAACTTACTCCCATCAGCTAGCTTCTGCCTCACTTTCCTATAGTCATTATACAAAGGCTCAAGGTACCGATACACATCAACATCAGACCCAGTGAGCCGTAGATAAAACGCACCAAGAACACGAACATATCTGCAACAAAAAAAACAAAAAAAACAACTCAAGACTCAAAACGTTATATAGAGAAAAAGACAAGAGCTTTGGTAAGAACACAAACATATCTACAGAAACCCAATAGAGTAAATAATCTCAAGACTCAACCTTTACAGCACCAAAAAACGTTATAAAGACAAAAGACAAGAGCTTTGGTAAGAACACAAACATATCTACAGAAACCCAATAGAGTAAACCATATCAAGACAACACCCAAAAACGTTATACGGACAAAAGACAAGAGCTTTGGTAAGAACACTAACATATCTACAGACACCCAATAGACTAAATCATCTCAAGACTCAACCTTTAAAACACCCAAAAACGTTATAAAGACAAAAAGACAAGAGCTTTGGTAAGAATTAAGAAAAAAACATACTTGTAATCATCGTTCTTGATGAACTCAACAACGATCTCCTTCTCAGGCTGGATTTGAAGCATCTTCAGTACAAGGCAGAGGAAAGGAGTGGGCTTTCGGTTACCACCGAAGGTTCCGCCGACGTGGTCAAGCTCCATAGCTTTGTCGACGAGCGTCTCCGCCGTGAGACCGAAGCACTGCTCTTTCCAGAAAGTGTGGTCGTGGATTTTATTCCGCACGATCGTTTCCACGAGGTTCTGTGGGTTCGTGCCTCTTATGTTCTTTGCTAATGGATCCGTGCGGTTTGCCATTGTTGGCGGGAGGGAATAGGATTCGAAGACGGTGTAGAAGACGAAGACACTAGGGCAGATTTTTTTGGAAAATTAATATTATTTTCTATTTTATCATTATTATATAATGGAATCTTAGTTCAAATAAAGTAAAGTCCATAATGAGAAGAGATTAATGGGTCGGTTAATTTAATTGTTTAGGTATTTGATTGTTTGCAGTTTTTACATTGGTTTTGGCTTTTTGTTTTTCAAAAATTACGTTTTTGTCCAATCCAGATTTATAAAAAAGTGATTCCCTATAATTTAGGGAAAATATAACTTATATTATTGCCAATCAAGATTTTAACAAAAGTGTTTTCATAAGATAGGGAAACTTGATTTTAAACGTTTAACCAACTTTTCAATGAAAATCCAAAATCCATGTTTTGTTGGTTTTGTGCACAACTACTTTCTCTCGAAATATATAAATACAATATATTAACACTAGTTAAATATATATATGTTTGTTAAAATCTAAGCTATTTACTTACGTATTTTCTTTTATTATTTATATATTAAGATTTTTTAATCTGTAGGAAAATATATTTTTACAAGAAAATAACAATTGAAAACAAGTTAAAAAATTTTTTAATTTTTTTTACAAATAACAAGCACAATGTTTTAATACATTTTGATAATAAAATATAAACTTCTACATATTTTATTTGTGGTTTATTTTACTGCTATTGAACTCATAAAATTGAAAAATGATTCAAAGAAAATAAATTAAACTTAAATATAAAATCAAAAACTAAAAATAAAATCTAAAAACCATTTTATGTTGATTGTTTTAAGATTTTCTCAATCATAATATTTTGATATATTTCAAGGGTAATTTAAAAATCTATTGATATTTAGTTACATTTTACTGGAAAATATAATTTTTCAGTATTTTTATTAGTATTTTTTAAAAAAATAAATCATCTCATTTTGTAAAAAACCTGTAATTTCGAAAAATAAATTTCAAACTACAATATACAAATCAAAAACTAAAACTAAAAACGAAAAACGAAAAATCAAAAACTAAAGACTAAGAACCAAAACGAAAACCAAAACTAAAATCCAAAAACTAGAAACTAGAAACAAAAAGAAAAAAAATACTGATAATAATCTAAATTTCTTTAACAATGATAATAAATTATTTGCAATTTCTGTTAATAATGAACAATTGCATAAAGAAGTTTCACTACAAATTTTTTTGATAACACTCAAATCGACGAACATTTTTGGTGTTTGTAATAAACATGATTTCTACAAAGCACAAACCACAAAAAGTTATCCTTGCAACATTTAATTTATGATAAGCTTGCATCTTATAATATGAAAAAAATGCATATTTTGTTAATGAATCATATATCTAGTGTTGGGGTCTTTAAATTTGGACTATATGCTGATGTCAATTTCACCTGTTTTTTTTTATTATTGATGAAATGTTATGTTGGACTGTTTCTAATTTTTAAATTTTTTTAAATGATATTCATGAATTCTTTTTCTATCATGTTGATTGTTTTTTGTGATCACACATTGTTATTTATTGTAGTTTTAGATATAATGGGCCTTAATTAAATAAGAGGTGCTCAACCGGTAACTGTCAGGCCCACAATAAACTAAGATAACGCCGTTAGTTGGAAGTCCGTTACGACTGTTATTACAAAGGCAAGAAACCCTATCGAAGACAACTGCAGGAGTGGTTTTGTCTCAGCGAAGAGCCTCAAAAGACAGAAAGAGAAGGAGAAGAAGTTAAAGATGGATTCAAAGACGAAGCAGATGATCTTATCAGCACTCTGTAAACATTTCTCAGTGGACTCTGTAAGTGAACGAAGATGCCATCTTGAGAAAGCTCTCACCTTTATCTCTGTGACTTTGGTCTAGGGTCTTGCTTAGTAGCTAAGTTTATGTATGGTTCTGTTCTTTAATTTAAGTGGGTATCTAATGGATCTATCAAAAGATTGTTTCTTTATTAGTTGTTGCATGCATCAAGCTCGTTGTGAAAATTGATGTTCTTATGGTTTCCGGTGTTGATTAGTTTATCTCCATGACTTTGTTTAGGGTTTTTCTTTGTAGCTGAGATTGTGTATGGTTCTGTTCTTTATTCTGATTGTATCGAATGGATTTATTAAAGTATTGTTCTTTGTCGATGTTTATGGATTTGATTAGGCACCTTTTGTGGGAGGGGCTGGTGAGAGTGATGTCAAGACGCTGTATGCTAATGTTTTGAAGGCATCTGGAAAGGAAGTGTCTGCACAAAACAACGAGGAGGTAACTTGTTTTCTTCTACAACTTGGGTTTTTATTGAGTTCCCTTCTCGTTTATACCACATTTTGTGAAGGCGGGTTGAGTTTGTCTTCTGTGTGGTCTTAAATGATGAGTCTTTATTTGGCTTTCTTTAGATCAATGTACTCATCGTTTCGCGTTTTGGCATGTTCTAGGTTTTGAAGTTGCTGGAGTATGCGGAAGGTCTCCCAGCGAGTTCAAAAGATTGCTTTACAGCTCTTGAAAAGTTGAATGCAGAGTTAGCTGTGAAGTCAGTGGTCTTGGCAAATGGATTGACGCCATCGGCAGCTGATGTTGTTGTGTTTGCAGCTCTGCATTCTTCAGTGGTACGACTGCTGTGCTGTTCTTCTAGAAAAGAACTTTCTTTTCTCATATACTGTTGAGTAAAAGTGGAACTAAACTGTTATCTGCTGACTTACTGTTTTCAGCTTGCCCTCTCAGATTCAGACAAGGCGAAAATACCACATGTTTTAAGATGGATGAACTACATCCAGGTAGGATCCACATATACAATTCTCACTACTAATTTGTCAAGCTAGTCTTTTTAATAGTTGTCTGTGTGATTATCTGATGTATTTGTAATCACTTCTCACCATTACTTCTACAGATTAGAGAAGGGTTGTCAACATTGTTTGGACCAATTTCTGTGAAGTTACCACAGTTTGACTTCGAGGTGAGTTATATGTTCATTCGTTTTTAGATGATACTAACATCTTTCTATATAGATGACTTTGAGGTGAGTTTTTCTGATACTCTTCATGTGTTCTAAACGCAGGTATCGAAAACTGTCGCCAAGTTGGATGCAAATGCTAATACAAAGAAAGCTGCAGAAAGTGCAAAGCCTGTGGAGAAGTCAGAAGCGCAGCCAAGCACAAAGAAAACTGACGCTGAGGTACTGTTTTTGTTTTTGAAGTTGGATTTGATGATAGTGAGTGTAAAAGGATCTGAAGCTTCCAATTTTTTTTTGGTCTAGGAGCCAAAGAAGAAGGCTACCAAAGAGAAGGAAGCCAAAAAGGAGAAGAAGAAACCTGCTGAAGCAGAACCAGCTAACAAGGAGGTTGAGCTTAGTGTCAGTTTGCTAAATATTCAGGTCGGTCTAATTCGAAAAGCGTGGAAACATCCGTCTGCAGACAGGTTTGTGGTCAAAACACTTCTATCTTATGGCTTTGTTGTATCTGTAAGACTTGTCTTATGTGTTGTCAATACAGTTTGCTGGTGGAAGAAATAGATGTTGGAGAGGGTAAAGTGAGGCAAGTCGTTAGTGGCTTAGCTAAATTCTGCAGTCCTGAGGATCTAACGGTATAGTGATGTCTCAATCTAAATAATCGTTAGGTTCTTGAAACTTAAAGCTTACTTATCTTTCGTTGCTTTGTTATGATGATGAAGAACCGGCTTGTTGCACTTATCACAAATGTGAAACCTGGAAAGCTACGAGATGTAATGTCAGAAGGACTGGTAAGACTTTCTTCCATCTTTCATCAACGATTAAAACATTGCAAAGCTTTTGACACTTGCTTTTCTTCTTTGTTATTGGTTTCTTTGGTAAAGGTTCTTTGTGCTTCAAATGAAGATCACTCGGTGGTGGAACCATTGCTACCACCTACTGGAGCTAAACCAGGAGAGCGTGTTTCATTTTCAGGGTATATAACGTTAATGACTTAAACACAAACCTCTTGTTAACGCTACTTGTTAATCAACTAACTTACGAGATTAATATTTTATATTAGGGTTGAAGGGAAGGCAGAAGATGTACTGAACCCAAAAAAGAAGCAACTTGAGAAGATAACACCGGTATGTTTTATCAGGTTCCATTACACTAAAACTAAATGGGAACATGCTTAGTGATGTGTTTGCATTAAGAACAATATACATTTAATTGTCACACGCGTTTTGCAGCATCTGTACACTGATGAAAGTGGAGTAGCTACATACAAAGGGATACCATTCATGACCTCAGCTGGACCTTGCACTTCCAACATCCCCAAAGCCACCATCAAGTAGACTCTTCTTTGATAATTCACACACTCTGTTGTTAAAAAGAGTGCACCCTTTGGTCACAATTTGAATTAGTATTTACAACCTTGTTCTTATCAAACCGTTCTTGTGACTCTTCTATGAGCTTTTTGACAAACAATGTTTCAGTTTCCTCTTTTGATAGCTTTCTGCTATTGACTGTTGTCTCAAGCTCATCACTCCATATGCAATCCTATCATCAGATAAACCGGATTTGGTAGAGATTGAAACATACCACACCATCCACTATGTACATATTAGTTTAATTCGTAATTGAAAAAGCATAGAAACCTGATTAATGCCTTACAAAAAGGTTTTCTAGTCATTATTACTAATTTTGTGATTACCAAGTTTTAATTAACGGCCCAAATAAGAAAAGGCCCATAAAATATTATTCATGGGCCAAGAATAACTGCAAAAGAACTTCTCTTCACCCTCTCCTTCTCTCTCTCTCAATATATCTCCGATTGGTTGGGTTTAGTTGGGTCCTCTCCTCTCAAACCTCCGCGACAATGGCGGCTTCCCTTCAACCTGCATGCTTAGACCTCCACTTCTCCGGCAAACATCCCCCTCCACCTCTCAAACACCCCACCTTCCTCCGTTGCGTCTCCTCTCCAAATTTCCCCGAACCTGACTCCCTCACTGACACCAATCTCACCAAAGACCAGCGCAAAGTGGTTCGTATCGCGTGGGAGAAGATAGTCCGTTGGTCACGTTCCTTGCGCGCCAAAGCCAAAACCGATGTCCTTGAACGAACTCGCAAGGTACTGTACTATCTATCTATCTTCAACCTCTTCTTAAAATGGTTTATCTCGTTCCGGTTTAATTCAATTTATATAATGGTTATCTCATTCCGGTTTAGTTCATTGTAACAAACTTTCTTTATCGTTGCTCAGCTAACAAAAGAATATGTGTGTTCTTTAGGTTGTTACGAGAGATATTTAGAGTAATGGTTTATGATTGGTTCAGTGTATTGATGGTTATCTCGTTCCGGTTTAATCCAATGTGGTTATTTCATTCCGGTTTAATCTAATGTAACAAACTTTCTTTATCGTTGCTTAATCAAATGTAACAAACTTTCTTTATCGTTGCTTAGCTAATAGAAGATTATGTGTGTTCTGTTAGGTTGTTGTTTTAAACGAAAGATATTTAGAATAATGGTTTATGATTGGTTCAATGAATTGACGGTTATCTCATTCCGGTTTAATCCTATGTAACAACGTTCTTCTTCGTTGCTCAGCTAACAAAAGAATCTGTGTGTTGTACTTGTTCTTTAGGTTGCTGTTGTTGAATCTTTCGAAAAATATTTACAGTAATTGGTTTATGATTGGTTCAACGTATTGATGGTTATCTGATTCCGGTTTAATCCAGTGTAACAAACTTTCTTAGGTGTTCGTTGCCTAGCTAACAGAAGAATCTGTGTGTTCTTTAGGTTGTTATTGAATGCTGCGAAAGATATTTTAGAGTAATATGGTTTATGATTGGTTCAGTGTATAGATGGTTATCTCATTCCGGTTTAATCCAAGTTGAATAACAGAATGTTTCATCAATGTAACAAACTTTTATTTGTGTTGTTTTAGGTTGTTGTTCTTGGTGGAGGTTCGTTTGGTACAGCAATGGCTGCACATGTAGCTGGTAGGAAGGAAGGATTAGAGGTTAACATGCTTGTGCGTGACTCTTTTGTTTGCGAATCTATCAACAACAACCACCATAACTGGTACCTTTACAACGTTAATTTTTTTTTAACACAAAAACAGTTCAAGATTGCTTGAGGACTCTGCAGTGATGATGTGAATGTTTCTTGATATTTTGTTACTAGTAAGTACTTTCCTGAGCATAAGCTACCTGAGAATGTGATTGCCACGACTGATGCTAAAGCTGCTTTGCTTGATGCTGATTACTGCCTCCATGCTGTGCCTGTTCAGGTTTTAACCACATTGAGTTTTTTCTTCTTTTTTTTTTACTGTTGGTTTGATTCTATGTTCTGATGATTAAGGTGGCTTGTTGTTGCAGTTCAGCTCAGTGTTTCTAGAGGGGATTTCGGATTATGTTGATCCAGGATTGCCTTTTATATCACTTAGCAAGGGTTTGGAGCTTAATACTCTTAGGATGATGTCTCAGATTATCCCCACTGCGTTGAAGAATCCTCGGCAACCTTTTGTTGCACTTTCTGGCCCTTCTTTTGCTCTGGAGCTGATGAACAATTTGCCTACTGGTTAGATTCACATTAATGTTTCGTCTAGTTCAGATAAGAGTAATGTATAATGCTGAATGTCTTTCGTATTTGATTGGTTTTCCAGCGATGGTGGTTGCCTCTAAAGATAAGAAATTGGCCAATGCCGTTCAGCAGCTTCTGGCTTCTAGTTACTTGAGGATAAACACTTCCAGGTACAACATTTCAAAAACCATAAAATCCAACTTGTGATGGTCTTTTGATACTTATTTATATCATGTGTATGTGACTGAGTTTTAATGGTTGATTCTTTTAATTCTTCGAGGGAGTTTTGTGCACTCAGCTTGTAACCTCTGATCATTTCAGTGATGTTACAGGCGTGGAAATTGCTGGTGCCCTGAAGAATGTTCTAGCAATAGCTGCAGGAATTGTTGATGGGATGCAACTCGGTAACAACTCTATGGCGGCTCTTGTATCACAAGGTTGTTCAGAGATTAGATGGTTAGCCACAAAGGTAGCAAATTCAGTATATTTCTGTAATAGGCTCCATAGAAAGTGGTTTTGTCGTAGAAACTCACCAGAATGATTACTGCATTTTATTAATCTTGTTGTCTTGTTTTTGTATGAAGATGGGTGCAAAGCCAACAACCATAACTGGCTTGTCTGGAACTGGGGACATAATGCTCACGTGCTTCGTCAATCTCTCGAGAAACAGAACAGTTGGAGTCAGGTTAGGGTCAGGGGAGACATTAGATGAGATACTGAGCTCCATGAATCAGGTGTGTTTCTTTCTCATTACTGTTCTTGTCTATTGGTGTGAAACTGAATCTGAAACTCATGGTTCAATAAACTACTGTTGACACAGGTTGCAGAAGGTGTAGCAACTGCTGGGGCAGTGATAGCGTTAGCACAGAAATACAATGTGAAGCTCCCTGTTTTGACAGCCGTAGCTAAGATAATCGATAACGAACTGACACCGACTAAAGCTGTTCTTGAGCTCATGAGCCTTCCTCAGGTAGATTCCTAGATTCATATTTGCAACTTGGTTAGTTTTGTGGGTATTTTTTAATTTACTGTTTTGTTTATATTTATGGTTTTTTTTTCGCAGGTGGAGGAAGTATGAGATGGAACAATTGTTTTGAAGATCATACATATATTCACAGAGGTGGCTTTACGGCGGCGAGATCTTTACATTTGTTTAGTGATAGCTTATGAAGTGAGTTTTATAATCTCATTAATGTGAATTGTTCATAAAACATTTTACAAAATCTGTATAAAGTTTTCTCTTTGCTTATGCTTTATCCTTGGTAGAGGTGTTTTATAAAATTTAAACGAGTAAAAATCCGAAATTGACATGGTTTTGCACTGGTCAGTAACAGAAACAAAAACTGAAAAGAAAATTAATCAAATATTTATTTGATTGAATATCGGTTATGGAAAGGGCAACACACTAAGGGGTTGATTGGTAGAGCATTAGTATAAGTATTATGTTCTCTATTATCCAATCAATATTTGGTAAAGAATCATTTAGAATAACATTTACCAAATGCAAATGCTCTCTAAATGCTCTTTGCTCAATGCTCTCATACATAGCTTTTGAGAGAGCATTTGCATATAGAAAATATAAAACTTAATAATATTTATATATAATTAATTTACTTTTGTTTATAATTAATAAAAAATAATTAATAAAAAAATATTTTTATAAAACACCTCTAATTAATAAAAAATAATTAATAAAAAATATTTTTATAATTAAATATAAGTTTATATTTTAAAAATAAAAAATTATAATTATTTTTTTTAAAGAACAATATTTCACATTTAAAATATAATATAATTAATATAATTACATATATCATTCATTATTTTTAATAACAAACATAATATAATATAATTTATATATTATCGATATAAACATATTATTTAGACACTAATAAATAAATTATATATTAAATTTTATGATAATTTTATATATGAGTAATTTAGTGTTTTACCAATAAATAAATAATAATTTATATATAAATTATAATTAATTTATATATAAAATATAATTAATTTATATATAAAATATAATTAATTAATTTATTTATTTAATAATAATTATAATTTAATAATAATTAATTAAATTATAACTATAATTTTATATATGAGTAATATGTTTATATCCAAAAATAATTTAATATTTTAAAAATAAATTTTAAATTTTAAATATAATTTATATAATGAAAATTCATTATTTTTAATAAAATTATATATTATTAATATATATTATTTTAAAAGAAATATATTATTTTACTAACTATTATGACAATTTTAAAATCATATTCTGCTAAATGCTCTGCCAATCACTTTATTAAAAACTTTAATGAAAGCATACAGCTTATGTAGCATATTGCTTCTGCAGCATACTGCTTCTGCAGCATACTGCTTCTGCAGCATACTGCTTCTGCAGCATACTGCTTCTGCAGCATACTGCTACTGCTTTATCATCTGCTGTACCTGCTGTACCAATCGAGGCCTAAGAAGAGAAAGAAGAAGAGTGGCAATAGCAGTACAACAAAAACTTGAGATCAAATCTGTTTAGCCACCATAAACCATGGCGCAAGTATTGTAATGTCATGAGCTGTTCTTGTTCATATAAAATTCTGAAATAGAGACATTCTTGGAGTTTAAAATGAATGATATTACAAATCAAATAATGTGTTGGTTACCTGGTTCGAACTCTTGAGTCATCTGGAGATGGTTTTCAAAAAAAGAAAATGTACATTGAATGCCTGTTTATCTTGTTCCTCTAGTGTTCATCACATTCCAGATGAAGTTCGGTTAATGCGTTGAGCACCAAGTTTGGGAACTGCAGGTTTAGCTGCTCGACCACGACCAGAAGTTAAAGGTTTTGCTCTGGTGCTTGGTGGTGGAGCAGCAATGGCAGCCCAAGGGTCGTCATCATCAGACTGTACTTTCTTCTTCAAGTTCAACGGTCTTGAAGTAGTTGCGGGTTGAGGAGCGGCTAACGATCCCCACAAATCATCGTCTTCGGATTTAGCAGCTGCTTTTGCTGTGCTAATCTTTGGTCTTGAGCTTGTTGCTATAAAGAGCGATGAATATAACACATAACCATATAAATTTCAGGAGGCTTTACTAACTGATTCAGATAAAGATTGGTACCTGCAGGTCTAGAGGGCTGAGACACAGGTCGTTTCTGAGCTGCTTGAATGTTTGAGAGAGCTGGAGAAGGTTTTGGTTCATCGATAGGATCGAGATCCCATCCGTCATTGTCGCTGTCATGACCTTCGCTAATGCCATTCTCAGTATCCTCCCAACCATCTGTTGATGATGGTGCTGGTTGATCTGTGAAGTCTGAGTTGGAACGTGTGTGATGACTGGCTCTGACACTCGGCGCCTCCGCTGCTGAGGAAGATTTACAAAGAAATAAACAAAATAGAAAAAAAAAAGTATTAACTATCTAAAAGCACAGTGATCAGTACTTTTTCCATATCTTCACATTTCAACAAATATTTAGTTCCATTGTTAAGAGAAAAGTTATATTATAAGTGATGTCAAGTGTACCTGTGCTTGGAGCATTTGAGGCAGCAGCAGCTAGAGATGGTGCTGAAGAAGAAGAAGCTAGAGCCGGTTGATCTAATGGCTTACCCTTGATAGTCAAAGAACTCATAGCCCATCTATAAAAATAAATAAAGTAGTCCAGTTAGTATACCGAGCACTCTGACCAAATGTTCATATATATAGTCTACTCACCCGATCAGACCAGCAGTTTCAGGTATAGCTGAGACTCCTCCGGTGACTATTGTCTCACCAGCGTTTGTCTATTAAGAAACCACTCAAATGTCAATAGGACTCTAAATATTACAAATATCTCAAGGCAAGAGTTCGGTACAGCCATTATCTCTACCTTCTCATAGTTCTGTTTTAGTATCTGAAGAAACTGTTCTACAGCTTGAAATGCCTTTGATCGAACCTCACTATTACGGAAAATGAGAGAAAATGGTTTAATTTTTCCCAGGTGAAATTACTAGACCAAGCAAAGAGAACATGCACTTAAATAAGGAACCTGTCTTGATCAATGGTTAGCACAACAACATTTGGAAGAATCTTAGTTGCTATTTCAGTGTCGTCATAAGTGGTACTAGTGGCACATAATGCAACAATACCTGCATTAAGTAAAAATCCCAGATGAAAGCTGGAAATAAGATAACAGCAGGAATATTCCAGACCGAGTGAGAGAGAACCAAAACATCCTATAAATGATAGGATCGCTAGGATTCAGTAATTGAGGTATTTACATACCTGCACCTCGAGCAGGTGGAAATGTATCACGTAAAGCACGCACTGTAAAAGCATTAATCAAAACTCTTTTCCTTGTCTGCATCATATTTTCATGATTAGACCAAACAAAAACAATAGAGGTGACAAAAGAATCAAAAGAACAGTGAACGTAGTGAAGACTAACCCCTTCATTTAGGTAGGTGGCAATATTCCCGAGTAATATAGTGGTATTTGTTCTGATTGCAGGTTCTTCATCCACCTGAAAAAATATAAAATTTAAACCACAACAACCTCCAAGTCCAGTTAAAAAGGAACCAAATGATTGCCATCAAGTGGAAATAACAATCATATATGGAAAAGAAATCGGTCAAAGCTATTGAAGGTGACAGATACAAACCTGTAATTTGGAAAGGTATTTTAAGAGGGATCCAGAAAGTGTACGCTGAGAAAGCTGCAGCCACAATGAAAGAAAATAAATATATATTTAGATCAAACACAATTGAATTATGACCAAAAAGTGGTAAGAATAATACCTTTGGAGCTAAAACGAGCATTGACTTAAGAGTCAGCTCTCGTAGAAAGGCAGATGTGTCAGCAAATCCAGTAGCAACATGAGGGTATACCTATGAAAACACAGTCCAGTCAATGTTAATGTTAAAAGCATGCAACAATATTGCATTACTGCCGAACATCCACAATCTAAACAGTTTTTTTAGCCGCCAAAGAAGAGAAAATAAACTTACTTGTTCATCAACAATTTTCTCTGACATTGACTCTCCAAACTGATCAACATGTTGCAAAAGAGAAACTCTAATAGCTCGATCATTGGAAGCAAAAAGCTTGACTATCGTCGGCAGCACCTAAAGTCATATAAAAATAATATCATAACATCATTTGAGTGGTTTAGAGCGTTTTTACGGAGACATAGCATAGCATGAGTAAACAACCTTGACTTTGAAATCTTCAGTTGATAACCATGAACCCATCTTAAGTAAAGCAGTTAATGCAGGGGCAACAGCTGAACCAAATTCAAGGGAAGACGCTAATAGAGGAAGAAGCTGCATCAACCAGAAGGTTAATTCAAATAACGAAACGCAAAGCCGAACTGTTGGCTTAGTACCCCCAATAGTTCAGAGTAACACCTTCTTAAGCACGATCTCCCGAGGAAGCTGTTCAGCAACATTCGGAAGTTTGCGGAAGAAAGTATCTTTTTCAACACTGTCCTTCAAGTTGAGTATATCCATAAAATGTACGGTGTCCACCAGCTTATTTTGGAAATACTCTGCCAAATGTCAAAAATAAAAATCAAGAGATGGGAGATGGTCAAGGATAACCATAAGGTATACAAGCCGAGAATAGAGGGTAAACTATTTAAGTTTCAAATTTGTAACTAAGACAAGAAGATTACCGCCGTTTTCTAGAAGTTTTGAGGTGTTCAATCTGCGAGAGGGCATGGAACTTAGGAGTCGCTGATAATCTGGAAGCAGAGACTGAGAAAAGAAACATTCAAACTGAAATGAAAGCCGGCTCTTAGAAATTTAAATCAAACAAACTGATAAAACCATCAAAACTTCAAAGAGAAAACACATCGCCAAGTTCCAAATACATTGGAGTTAAACCACATATGCAAGAAAGAGAATGACAACCAAACCTTAGGAATGCCGACAGTGTTACGCAGCTCCTCTGTTTTTCCCAGCTTAGAGCCCGAGAAGAGTTCATAAATAAGACAACCTCCCAGAAAAGAAGTAGAAGTAAAGGGCTTTAGAGAAAGAATTATATTGCGATTGAAAATTGATTGGCAGGATCTTACCTAAACCCCAGGAATCAATGGCCCATGGAGGAGATTTTCTAATGGCAACCCAATCAGACTTCACCATTTCCATTGGCTTGTACTGTGTTCCCACTAGCCATTCAAATGGCTGAAACAAGAAAAGAAAAAAGTTTAGAAAGGATGAAAAGGAAGCAAAGATAACTTTGGGAGTAATGAATACTACCAGCATAGGTCCACTTGCAGATCCGTTGCTTCCATCAAATTCTGATAGGACATCAAAAGCATGAAGTTTCCAGTCCAAAGTAGGTGTGACAACAACACTCGCCAGACATACATTTCCATGCACCTGTTGAGGCAAGGAATCAAAGGTTTACATAATGAACTCAAGATGATATCTACAATACCAAAATCGAATATGTCTTCTAAATAGCTGAAAACTATTATAATGTTATAAGAAGAAAATACTCACAAGTTTGCAGTCATTGTTTAGAAAGCTCACAGCTTTAGTTATCTGGTGTAGCCCCAATGCAAAATACTCATCCCTAGGCAAATATATCAATCACAACAAAATAAGAGAAGTCATCAGATTAAAATGCTGCGGCAAATTATACCCTTTGGCCTATTTTCTGATGCTCACAAGAAGAGTTAATACCTCTGGGTGGCTTTCAAGCCAAGCTCCTTTATCTTATCTGAGAGCGGCATAACAGGCTCAGTGACTATATATATTGTAACCTTGGAAGTAGAACCATCATGAGTTTCAACCTCGGTGCTGTGAAGAAACGAAAGTATATTTGGATGCCTCACCTGCAAAAGGAAACAGTAAAGTGATAATCAACAGAAGAACTGTCTTGTTTACACGAATCGAGCCTACACCATGTAATTTAATAAGGTTAAGAGAACTTACAGTACGAAGGCGCTTAACACCGTTCCTCCCAGCAGCCAGATGACCATCTTGAGCATTGTTCCCAGACAAAGCAAATATCGAAACTTGAGATCCATCATCCTGACATAAACCAGATTATGAGATACTTACACCACTCTAAAATAAAGCTGATACATAGAAAACGTAACAATAACTATATACCGATGAGTGGAAATCAAATTTAAATCTCAAATCTCAAAACTCAAAACTCAAAACCAAAAAAAAAAAAAAAATTAGTTAACGATTCAAATTTGTCATTAGACTCATCTTAGAGTAACACTTAAGATACAACTTCACAATTTTTTTGCATCTAACTAAGGTTTAATGCTGCTGCTGAATCACGTTTTAGCTTTGGATCATCACGTTAACATTAGCAAATCAAATTACCTTATATATATATAGTTTTATACGTTTTGAAACACTTAATCAACATCAAATTCGATTATACAGCTAAAAATCTGCAGGATCAGAAGCAGAATGATAATAACAGAGACCTTGGAGGTGCCACGATAATGAACCCAGGAGCCCCAAGCGGAAGGATAAGGATCACCGATGTTGTAAGGCAGATCCTTGAGCCCCGTCCCAGATCCACCCACCACTCCTTTCAAAAAATTGAACATGTTTCGTTTTCCACCACCTCTGTTTTTATGATTCTCAATCTAGCGGACGTTGATTGCTTTCGTATGGATCTATATGAAAATCAGAAGAACGACGAAAACTCTCTTCGTCTTCTTCAACAATCTGCTTCTTGTTGCATTGAGTTTTTGTAGATTTGTTTTTTTTTTTGCTCGGAGTTATTATTATGATCGATATGAACTGGTTTCGCTGCCGTTTTCGTGTTTTGGTTTTGGAGTTCGTACTGTTTTGTTTTTGCTTATGAGACGTTGTTGAGTTATAGAATTCGTGCTGTTTTTTTATGTGGGCTGGGTTTTGTAGTCCAGGATTGATTCATGGTTTGGGTCGTGTAGTGGGTTTCAGCTCTCGTAGTTAGGTTTTCCACCGTTAGTTCTCTTCTTTTTGTTATTTTGATTTTTGATTTTTTTTTTGGTTTTTTAAATGTTTATTTTAGGATAATTCTCTCTAATAGTAATTTTTATAATTTTGTCATAAAAATAGTACGAAAAATATAAAATGACCACAATAGTCTCTTTTTATTTTTTTTTTTACTTTTAAAATTTAAAACTTTAAACCCAAAACTCTACCTCTTAATCCTAAACCTTCAATCTATATTAGTTAATCCAAAGTTATAAGTGCATATTTTTGATGCAAATTTATTTTCGTCATTTTCTTATTTGAGAGATATTTTTGTGAAAATAAACTAAAAATTACTATTCAAAGAAATTTCTCTTATTTTTATGTTAATATAAAATATTTAAGATTCACATTAAATACCAACTTTTACAAAATTATTTTTTTATTAAATGAGAAAAACAGCTGAATAAAACTTTAGGCGGTCGAAGATGCTGTGATCCTTGTGGATGAGTTTTAGGCTCTGTTTATGTTCTTGGTTTTTGCCTTCTGGTGTTTGGTTTTGCTTGATACATGATCACATTGGTTCCTTTATAAAATTCAGAGTTAAAAAAAAACTTTAGGGTATATAAGCCCTGGAAATTTTATGATATGATCAAAATAAATATTGCGTGAAGATAATTTAATTATTAGTAAGGGATGCTTAGACTAATTAATGTTTCAGACCCAAAGAAACTTATGATTAGTTCTTGTTAAGAAGTTTACAAAAAGTTCGTAGTCCATAGAAATGTTCTCACTGGTGTGTCTCCACTTTAAGAAATGAATGTTCAACAGTTTCACATTGAAATCTTAAGTCTTCGCCTAGACTTCTCGGAAAATCTTGAAACAAAAAAAAAAAAAAAAAAGAGAAGGAAACATTAACTATGTTCAAATCATAGAAGACCATGACTTAGTCAATATTAATACCAGTTCGCCTGCCGTGTTTAACCAAACGCGTACGAACACACCGTTGCTATATCTATCTAATTCTCCGACCGGGATCAGTGGGTTACCATTAGTTCGATCTTTGGTCAGGACTTTACTAAACAATTGGTTTCCTACTGTTATCGAAAAACATGTATATGTTTTTTTTTTTCATATTGTGAAATAGCCTAATTAGTTTGTTCTTGATTCTTGGACATATTTTCATTTTAGCTAACCCCATAGTATAAGAAATAATATCTTTTTATGAAAAAAAAAATCTCAAACTTTGAATATTAATCTACATATTCAGAATTTCAATAGAGTTGGAACTAACATCGAAGCTAGCTGTTTGGCACTAACCATCATTTACGTATCTCTTCGTCTATATATATATACATGCGTATGAAATAAAATTTAAGTTATATTGTACACTCGTACAAATTGAAAACTTAAGTTACAAATGGAGGAGGTAATGTCAATGATCTTCCAAGGATTGAAACTGGTTAAGGAGCTTGAGTCAAGCTTACCTGGAAAGTCACTAGAAGCTCTATCGACCTCTCTAGACGATATCACAAAGACATTTGGCGATGCAAACGAGCGGTTGAAGATAGCTTTTGAAATCAGGAACTCGGACACCGCATTGAACCAACTTAAACCGGTGATTGTGCCTTGTTCAGACCAGATGCTAATGGAAACTGAACCGGGTCTGATGCAGGAGTATTTGTTAAGGTGTGGCGGGTCCACGTCATCTCAGGGAACGGAAGCCATGACTCAAAGGCAGCTCATGGCAGTTGATGGTGATGGTGGGAGAAATTTGACGGCTACAGAAAGATCTAACGGGTTCGGCGACAATTCTTCCACGCCAAGGCAACGCAGAAGGTAAAACCTAAAATATAGAATTGTATAAACTTTTTTTATTATGTTTTATGGTAGAAACTATGAAAGTACCGCAAAATCTTATTGAACCAAGTTTTTTCTTTTCTTTTTTGAAAAATACCACAACTTTGAACGTTGTTTCAAAAATACTAAAAAGTTTAGGTTTAGTAAATATGTCTAGAATTTTAGAATCTTTCAGTTCGTTACGGTATGTTAGAAAGTTTTCCAACTATATAAGTTTAACAAGCTTCTCTAGGTTAAAAAAAAAAAAAAAAGTGTAACAAGCTTCTCTAGTTTTTCTTGTAAAGGACATATCTAGCTAAATCTTTTAAGAACTCGATGGTTGTTTATTAGTCCACTACAAGTTTAAATTCAATATTATTATATGTTTCTCTTTTGCAAATTATTTAATAAAAAGTAAAATCTATGCAGTATACGTACCGTACCGTATGTACTAATGTGGATTAAATGAGTTCGTATTTAGGAAAAACGAAGGAGAAGAACACGTGGTGTTGGTGGCGGCGTTAAGGACAGGAAACACAGTTCGACCACCTGACGATAGCCATACTTGGCGTAAATACGGTCAAAAGGAAATTCTTGGTTCTGAATTTCCTAGGTAAAACTTTAATTAGGAAATAGTACACATAATAACAAAAACTTTAGTAAATGTTTATACTATATATTGTAACCAAGAAATACACATTTACATCACATCATAACGACCAATTAAGTTTATTAGAATGACCAAATAACCATATTATTAAAAGTTGAAAGTTGAAACTTCGGTGTTATAATTAATTACGTACATATATTTCTCTGATTTCATTTGATATGCAAATCATTATTTTTTCTTATTCCATGTTAATTAAATGACTACTTGCTTATTATATCGCTGGAATAGTGAAAATGTCCTAATCATATGCCCATGCATGCACTTAAATAATGTTGCAGAGCGTACTATAGATGCACCCACCAAAATTTATACAATTGTCCTGCCAAGAAGCAAGTACAACGCCTCAACGACGATCCTTTCACCTTCCGAGTTACTTACCGTGACACACTTGTCACATCTACTTAACCGCTCCCACCGCTCTAGAAGCAACTAGCTTTTTCCTTGACTACGGTCGACCCCACTTCTTCGACATGGCTGATGCTATGATGTTTGGTAGTAACGGGATTGGGGGCAACATGGACATGTTTTCTTTCAACGATCCAAGTCATCATCATGATCACAGTTTCCGGGGGTTGGAATATGGCGACAATTGAGACAAGTAGGATTCATGTATCTACATAGAAAGGACATGTGTGATTTTACTTTATTATTACTATCAAAAGTTTTGCATACTACACGTGATTCTAGTTTGGATCGAGTGGGAACTGGAACTAATTCTTATATATAGAGTATAGTTCGCTTTTTTACTATGAAAAGTTTTTTCATTATAATCAAATGGGGTTGTTTCAACCATGTATTTTAGTTATTGTATAGTTTTCCTTCCCATTCTCTACTTTTTTTCAAAAAATTAAATAATATTAAATCATCCGTCAAACGGGAATTCAGAGAGTGATTACAAGTCTGATTTAGAACAAAATATCCTAAATTACCCAATTACAAAGTTAGTTTCGTCCACCCACTAAACCCGGCACGTTCCACTAACCCGTTCCTGAACTTTCTAGGAAACCCAATGTTGTTCTCTACCATCGACAAAACCACGTCTATGTGAGGTTCTCCTCGTTTCCTCGGATGCCGGAAATATTCGTGAAGTCTCCGGAGTAGCTAGCATCAAGTGAACGCCTCAGAACCTGTAATCATCTCTGTCGATATACGCGCAAGTGCCATAGATGAAGGGATTAGAACATAAACCTTTGAAAATCGCTCCAATGCCACCTGTACATTCACCTACAACACCAAGAATCTGAAGCCGAGCGAACACAAAGAACCACGGCCAAGAACAAGTGCAAAAAGACGGGAACGGAAAGGTCACCAATTATGTTCCAGTAGAGCTCCAAGACCTGCAAGACAATATCTAGGCGACACTACCACTACAATGAGCACAAGCACACAAAATGGGACAAAAAATTTGTCCCATTCTCTATTTGATTATTCATTTTTTTTCTTTTCAGGTGACAATGAAAATGACCCAAGTTTAAGTGTAAGAAGAAATTAGTTATGAAAGTGTATAAAGAAAATTTAGTTATAAGAATATCAATTGCTTTTAAGGTATTGTGAAAACCATTTTTTTAGAATGCAAGTACATTATTTTTGAAATAATTGATAAAAGTTAGTGTTAGGGATTTGATTATTTTTGAATAATGACAAACTATTTGTTTACCTAATAAATTTTTAAAGCTTATTTCCACAATACATTTTTTAAAAAACCTCCATAAAATACAAATCTCTAGAAAGAGCTCACTTCATAAATATCTTTATAAAATAAAATGAGATACAATTGGCTCTGAAAAATAGAACTTCAAGCAACCAGAATTTCTGACAACAAAGAAAAAGCGCAAAGTAATCAGATTATTCTATAACATATTGCCTAAACTTTTTCAGTCCAAGGTACATAAATAAATATGCAATTTTCGATACGTTTAAAATAAATCAAAACTACGGGATAAATTGTTATTTTGTCGGTATCTCACATATTGTCATGAACTTGTTGGTGCTCTTCCTTTTTTGTTGATGTCTTTTTAATACAAAAGGATCCAAATAGTTAAAGAGGAGACTTCAGTGTCAAAATCAGCTATTCGAGTGGAATCTTTGGTCCCTTCACCGTTACTATTCATGATGCATGCGGCCTTCGTTATGCCCTTTGTTCATCATGTGTACTTGCTATGTCGACAGAGAAGATACTTTATCCTCAATTATTTGATATATATTGTGACATACGTAAAAGATGTTTAAGGTGTTAAATGAGTTATATCTTTTAGTTTACCTTTTGGGTTTTAAATACCCACAATAAGACTCATCATATCTCGTAATCAAGTATCAAAGATTCATCTTTCAAAAAAAAGTATCTTACACACAAAAAAAAAAAGAAGATTCATAGCCTCAGTTACAAAAAAATATCAAAAATCTAGTAACTTTTATTTATATATCAATGTAATGTCACACGTAAAAATAATAATTTCTGAACTAATCTGTTAATTATTTCTATAAAATCTAGTAAATTTTATTTATATATCAATGTGATATCAAAATTTACCTTTTGGGTTTTAAAACACACAATTAAGACTCATTGTATCTTATAATCAAGTATTGAAAATTCATATTCCGTATATATATATATATATACTAGGTGATTTTCCTGTGCTCATGCACGGACATAAATATTTAAAATAAATATATTATAATAATTGATTGATATTTACTTTAAATTTAAAATTAATTTATAATTTGTAGATATAATTTATATTAATAATATTATATTAATGTAATTATCTATAATTTTAGATATGTTATATTTCGTCAGTTTTATTATTTTTACGGTTGATTTAGTTATCATTGAGATATATTAGATTCTATCTATTTCTCTGAATTCAACTATAATCTTTTTTATTCTAAATATATTAAATTTTTGATTAATTGTCTTATTATCATTTATTCCGGTTGTTATCTTAGAAATATAAGTATATCCTGATTCTAAATTACATACTTAAGTAACTAATAATTTTTTGCAAGCTAATGAATACATATCAATATTTACAATATTTAGACTTATTAGATGATAAACTGAAATTTATTTTAAATAATTTTAAAAATAAAGATTCTGATTTGTTTAAGTATTTTGATTATGATTATATTAAGTTCTACAAACATAAAAACAGATAATTAAACATCAAAAGAGTTATTAAGAAAACATATATTTTTAACTATTAAAATATAATATATCTACTTCGATAAATTATATAATGTTATGATATTTTAAGATAATTGTAGTTATTTGATGAAAAATGTTTATTATTAAAATTAACTTTTAGTTTTGTTGTTAGTATCTTTTAAAATATGCAGTAAAAATGGTATTGTTTTTGAGAAATTATATTATATAAGTAAATAGAATTTATATTTTTTTCTGTAATTGTAAGATATTATAGTCAAAAATATACTAAAATAAAAATATATATATTTCAAGAATACTAATTATAATTTTTTTTTCAATTAAACATATATTATTTTATGTTATTTAATTATTTTATGTAATCATCTAATAAAATAGATATATACAAAAAAAAATACTTTGAAAATCTATATATTTATTCTTTAAAATTATTTTTTAAAATAAAAAATCTCTTTTTCTAATATAAAGATTAGTTGTGTGAAATTTTTTTATGGAATCACATTATATACAAATATTGTTTTTCATCTAAGAAGATATAGTTATAAAGTATTTTATTACTTCAAAATTATATTTTATGTTATTTAAACTATATATAAATTAAATATTACTATTTTGTGAACTTTCCATTTTTATCAAAACCATATTTATATATACTTATATTTTCGTTTTTAAAGAGTTTTGTAAACTTTATACATGTTTCCTTTTTATTTTATATTGTTATTTGAAAAACAAAATAAAAGGAAATAATAATATTTAAATATATATTTTTTAATTCATTAAGGGTATCATAGTAATCAACCAGCGTGAAAGTTAACGTGAGCGTGACACATAAGAAAGTGACTTCTCAAATAATATTATAGAGATATAATTATCATACGTAAACATAATAAAACTAATTAGCTAATTATTCCTATCAAATCTAGTAAATTCTATTTATATATCAATGTAATACCGAAATTTCTCAAAATCCTAGAAATTTTTCAAGATTGTCAGAGGAGTGAAACAAACTTTGTTTGTGTAAAAGAGTACATGTCACTAGTGGTGGTAGTCCAATGGCGTTTAAGAGATAAACTCAATGCAGTGAACCCTGGTTTGAATCCCGTTGGCCACACATATATGAATTATTACTTTCGATCCATTTGAATGCCCAAAAAAGAATCTATCTGTAGATTGTTTCTCCACATGAAGCTAAATCTATGTTTTTAATAGATTTGGATTTAACCTTTTTTTCATTTCAAAAATAAAATAAAAGAGTACATGTACGGATCATATATCTTTTGGGTCTCAATGGACTAACTTGTAGTCACTACCCAATATAATTTATAGCTTAACTGATTTTGTTTTATTTTACAATCAAGCAATTATTAATGCCCTAGTGTATACGGCAATGCTTATGTAATAAGGGCAACAACAAAAAGACAAAGCACGACAGTTGCTAGATGCATGTGTCTCAATTTCTTCCTTTTTAGCACCAAACATTGATAGCCGCAATTTGAATGGATAAGTTTCTTTACACTCTTTAGGTAACCAATCATATATCACACACATGGATTAAAAACTATTGCATTTAATAATAAAAGCAGTAACAATCAAATAAGAAAAACAATAATCTAGTGGGACTGTCGTTGTTGGAGCTTGGCTAATTCAGATCGATATTACCATATACAAAACATCTAGTGCTAGTTCAGAAAAATGAGATAAGGGAAACATTGGAAGATAAATTATTATATGCCATATGATATTATATCAAATATCCAACAAAAAAATATTACATTCCACTAAGCATACTCAAAGAGAGGATGAGTATTATATATTACACGCCTGATTATAATTCATCAAATTAAACTGCATTTGGATGTTCACCTAGCATTCGCACAGTATGTGTCGAATAAGGAGAAAAGTTGATCATTGTCAATGAAAGAGAACTGATGAGAAGTAGTACTAGTTTCACCGTGATAGTAGTGATGATCCTGATCATGGTGTTGATAATCATCAAACATCATCTCGTCTTGCCAAACCAATGACAAATCGCCATCTGTTGAAGAACCCTCACAAGAGTCTTTAATCTGATCATCATTGTTGTTCTCCTCCTGCTTCACCATACATGTGGCTACCTCAACTGAACTATCGTTCTCTTGCTCTTGCACGTTTGCATTCACATGGTCCTTGTGAAAAGAGGTTGCAGCCAATGTGTTGTCCGAATCAATGTTTGTTTCGGTCTTCACTTGCGTTTGGTCACTAACGTTACATGTGTGGTGGCCAATGTATGTGATTTGAAACATCTCAGGGTCACGCTCAAGTTTCTGAACTTGCTTTGTTGCTTTACATCCTTGCGTTGGCTTGTGTGTGCATCTAAAGTAACTTCTGCAAGACATTAAAAGCACAATGATTTAGACCAGTGCAGAGTTTACATAGTAGTGGTAGATTCTAATTTAGATTGATATGTTTCGGCCAAGGGTTCTTGATCTTTATATAAACATATAAGTGGAGTAAAAGATTAAGGACCTTGGGAACTTGGTATTAAGAATCTCCTTTTGTCCATATTTCCTCCAAGCATGTCCATCTTCATCAATTCTTTTAGCTTCCACGGTCCAAGTATGCGATCTCTTCCTGCAAATAATTAGTAAGAGTTTTATTAATTAACTGTTAAACCAGTTTAGCAAATACAATTACAAATCAACTGTAAACAGTATATAAACCACAACACCAATTGAAACAAATAAAATTCGGTTCCTAGCTAGCATTGATTGGATCCAATCCACAAAATCATATTCATACAATTCTCTATCAAAACCATGATAAAAACATTAGTTGTAATATTACTATTATAGATTATGAGAAAATCCATATCTAAATTCATATCTTAACCTTTACGTTAAGTCATTTCAAAATGGGGCACTACCAGAATATATGATGTAATCCACATCCAAAATAAATACTGAAATGATTTTTTTTTTTTAAATATCCACATAAAAAGTAGATTAAACCATTTAACACGAATGAAAAAAATATATAAAAAACAATAAATCTATATTTGAATTAAACTATTCCCACTTACTTTCTTATGTAGCATCCTCTTTTACCCTTACTAACCCCAAGTCTCTTTCTACTATCACCGGAATCTCCACCGTTGCAACTCGCCGGAGCCGCCGAGTCATCGACACACGAAGCATTACGTGAACCCTCTACAGCCACAGGGACGTAGACATCCGGGACGAGGTCAAGAGGATCAAGAACTGATATGGTTTTATGGAAACATCCCAAGATCTTAACGATGAGCTCATTAACGAGATCCGAATCACCGGAAAGTGAACCCGTCTCGATGTTGTGGTTAGAGTGTCGATGAGAGAGGAGAAGCTGAAGCTGAGTAGTGAATTTGCTGCCTTCCACGAGGTCGTCTACAACTTTTCTCTGTATGGATTTTGTGTTGTTACTATTTGACTCCATTTTTTTGTTACAGTAAACCTTTTTTTTTCTATGTTTTATTTGGTATGGAGGTATGATGATTTGAAGATGAGGAAATGAATGTAATATAGTGAGAGGGATGATAGATTTTATTTCTGGGGTTTCTCTGATCAAGAGAGAGGAAGAATCATAGGAAGATGCTTTTAGGAGTGGAGGGTATATAATTGGTAAAGTACTAAAACTTAGCTTATGAATGATAATGAATTCAAGGGTATAATGGGAAAGTGATAGCTTATTTACTCTCCTATTGGCTTACCAGAGCTCTGATGATGTCAAGGTGTCGAGGTGGGATGACGTCACCGATCTCCTTAACACGTTGGAGAGTTTGGTGGTTGTGTTTGTTTTTATCATTTCTTCCAGGATTTATTTATTTTTATATTTATTTCCAAGACAACGATCTCAAACAACTTGGTTAGGTTTTCTCTTTATTTTTATTGTTATAAAGCTAATCGTTACAAAGATTGACAATCAGTTTGTTTTCATTGGCATGAAATCACATTCAAGAAGAGACATATAATTGGCAAGATTTTTTCATACCAACCACCAAAATATTTAGTTAAGAGTTATTGAGTAACTTTTTCTTTTTGCAAATTTATTGAGTAACTTTTGATGTTAACCATTTTCATAAGACGAATGATTGATGAGTCAATGTGTCGTGTATGGAGTGTTATACATTTTTACGAAAGTAGAAAGATTCATTACGAAACCCACGAATATTCTCATAGATCGAACCTTTGAGTTCTGTAATGGATAGATTAACTACTAAAACTAATGTTATAAACGTTATAAAACAAATGTATCAGTTCTGGTGAGACCGCTTTGTTCGGATCTAAAAGTAATAATCGAGATTAATCTTAATATAATAAATCAACTAATCGTGGATCAAAGCTTAGGCAAAAACAAAAACATAAACAAATCGTGGATCATTTTGATAAAAGAGAGCTTAAAAGGTATTTCAATCACAAGTCACACCTTAGCTATGTCAGCCTACTGCTTGCTTGGCCCTGATCATTTTGGCAGTATTTATGAATTTCAGACTGAATAAACATGATAGAATTTAGAATTTATGTTATAAATTTCATGAACTTATCTTTACATACTATATTAAAATGTTCGTAGAAGTCATCCCTTTTTAAACCGAAAGGTATCATTATACTAGATTAAAACCAATAATATGATCCATAATAAATAATTCATTTTTGATTTGTTTCACGGATGTATGCTCGTTTTCTCGTCATTTCTTAACAGTTACAAAAATGGTTTATTTTTGAATTAGTTTATTTTCTTGACATGTAAAACAAATTTTAATAGTTAAGTTAAAAAATTTGTTTGCAAAAATGATTTGCGATAGAGATATTGTGAGGGCACTGAGGGGGCAGGTGCCACTGAGTGCTCCTCAGAGTCGCCATAAATTCAGTCCACATACGTGCATCTACTCGCAAATCAAACTTCATAAGTCAAATCCATTTGGTTGCACATATACTCCCCCTATAGTTTTCACATTAAAACACTTACTTTGTTTACAAAAGTATACACACACTTACCTTTTCATCTATAAGAAAAAGGTATACACACACACTTACCTTTTCATTTCATATTGAATGGCCCCACAATATCAAGCCACATTTGATCTTTAATGTTTGCTCCACATAACTCAAAAACTTTGAGTGTGTACTCCAGCAGCTATGTGTTACTACTCTGTTTGAATTGAGCCAATAGATATGTTATATGTCCCAGCAACTTCAGTTTACTTCTTCATTGAAGCTCATCCAAATTCTTTTGTTTACTCATCCGAATCTGCCTCTTTAACATCTCAACTGATTAATCATGTAGAGATGGTCATATCTAGACACTAGCTATATTAAAATGTTTAAAAATTCAATATCAATACTAATACAAAATAGTTAAAAGTATTGTTTTTTTTTCTCGGATAATGTCAGAAAGGTCAACGGTGATTGGGCAGTGATCGTTACAAATGACAAATGGGTTGAAGAATAATAATTCATAAATAAAATATTTGTCACTGTTTTTATTCTGACCTTAGCTGAGTTGTGTTATGCAAGAAAAATGATTAATCAAGAGGCCTCCATTAAAGGACTTCTACTTATCGCTGAAGACTAGCTACTATTATATCTGGATCTGTCACGAAGATAAATACTATGTTTTAATCTAACTAGTATGAAACATATAGTTTTTAATGTGTAAGTTGAGTCGTATTTAAGTGATAACCAAGTTATAATTTAAGCATCAAGTCAAAGGAAAAAATTGATTGAAAGAGCCACATCTGGCTTTGGACAAAACAACATTTTTTCTTATATAATACAACAGCATTAAAAGTTATAAAAGGTACAAACCCATCAATAATTCAACTAGTCCCAACTCCCAACTCATAGTTATATAGATCTTGTCATTATTACTAATATTTTTTGTTTATATGAATTCAACACACTAATCTTTCGGCAGCCTGAGTTTGAATTTTATTGGGATACATCATTGTTTTGAACCAAATCCCATTTCACGATCACTACTCAAATCTTTTACATTAGCCAAATTTTTTGTAACCTAGCGATTGTATCTTATTGGAACGTAGAGATTCATTTGATTTTAGCTAGGTTTAGTTATTAGTATATTTTGGGTTGAGATCAAGATACGTTTTAGATGGTAGTATATGCTTAAGCTTTGTCAGTACTAAATGTCAACTTAGATTTTCATCGTTGCAAGAAATATGAATATTCACACACACACACGCGACTACATACATATATATGTGTGTATATCTCTGGTTATTTATATTCAACTATTGTGTCTACATATGAATCCAAAGGTCATAAATGGAAAAAGGACTCCAAAATTACGAGACATGAGTCCCAAAACATATACAAAGCCTGTGGTCGTTTATGCATTTATATTCTAGTTGTGACGACTATAAGAAATATAAGTAGTTTTGGGGTTTATGTGTTTAGATTATAATTTAAAATACATGTATATAATCTTTGATTGGAAATCAGAATAAATCTACGAAGTCTTGGTAAAGAAAGATAATTTTCTGGCCAAACATATTGTCAAATTGTCAAAAGTTGCCAAACATTACAACTATGCATGCCGTGCCCCCTATAAGTAATTGAATAACATAACTACAAGTCTCATACTGATCATTATATCTATCTAGTTATTATTATATATCTTTCAGTAACCATTATATAACTCTATCTAATTCGTTTTGAAAAAGACAATAAACTAATCTATTATCCATTATCGGATGTACTAAATCTTAGATTTATGTTTGCCTCGCCCCATACGTTTCCTTAGAAAACTTAAACTGATTGTTCAGAAACATGTTTTGTAAAGTTTAGATATGTGGTACTATTTTTCATGAAAGTTCAAGGAACTTTTGAGTGTCTAAATTGAAGACAAATCAGCAGGAAAATAAAAGGAAGCACGAAGCTTCGTAGAGATGATGAAGACATCAATATATTATAATGGAAGTCTTTAAGAAAATAGTATGGGGGAATTAGAAACGATGAGTTTCGAGAAGGTAAACATGGTTCTTACAAAAGGTCAGAGATTACGGCAGGGGACAGGAAGCTTCTTTTCCCTCACACTCAGACAAAAGACATTCACAGAGTCTCCTTAGATGCAGATCCAATGTTCCATATCTCAAATCATAATATATATTTCATAAAGTACCATTGCACAATATCAAGATATATACTCTACAATCGCATTAACACATTTTATTGTTCCGAGATTAACACAAAAGAGAAAAAAAAATCAATCAAAATAGTATTAACTAATGAAAGTGCCACTAGCCTAGTGGTAAAATACCTTGTCATTTGACTCAACCAATCTAAGTTCGAATTCAAGGGTCTACTTGCTTCGTGGAAGCACCATGGTTAGTGGTCAAGGTTTAAAAGTTTATATATTCAGGTATATAGTTCGAACCCCATCAGACTATGCAATTTCTAGATTTTAATTCCTGGAAAATGCGAATTATGCAGAAAATATTTACAAGAGATCTTCAGCATCATGTAATGAGTACTGTCAGGAATGTATCTCATAGGATGACTTAGGATGATGTCATACGTGAATCCGCATAAGACATGTAGAATTGTCGGCTATAAAATCGTATATGTAATTTTTTCATAATTTATAATAGCATAATTAACGAGACAAAAAAATATTATTAACTAAAAGTTATAAATAAATTTTATATTTTATATTTCAGTTTGGGTTTAGTGAAAACATTTATGGTTTAGTATTTACAATGTAAGATTACCATAAGAGCTAAGGGTTTAGAATAATTTAAGTAATTTATCTTTTAATTAGTACTATTTTGGTCACTTTCTTTGGTATGTGTTAATTTACTCATATTCCTTTTGCACTATCAAGTTATTTACCCTAATATCTAATGCACATTCGTTTTGCACTATCAAGTTATTTACCCTAATATCTAATGCACAATCCGTTCTAATCATGAGCAGTCCTAGATACAAGTCAAGGAAGCATGTGATTTCAACCCTATTTAGAATATCAAAATTTTCGGTTTTCATTTTAACAAAATCTATAGTAGAATAGTTAGTTTATGGTTAGTGCTAGTGTGTTTGTGGTGCGGGTTTGAGTGAAGCCAATTTCTTTTTCCATTTTATGAGTAAATAATCCAAAATATTTTTTTTTTTGCTTTCGGTTCACCATTGTTTAGGCCAGGCCCATCCTAATTTGATAAAGTATTTTTTCACACAGTCGAGGTATGATGTACTTAAAAAAAAATCTGAAATTTTAGTTTTACTAAACTAAGTTACTTCCAAATTTTGCTGTATTTTCCCATTTATAAACTATATGAATATATAGTACGTTCAGTCATTTGTAGTAATCATGAAATTTTCTTATTTACGGCAGTCTTCTGGTACCATTAGAACTGCATCAAGTATAATAGTTGAGTAGATCCAAGGAAACCCAAATAAATGCGAAATTGCTCTATGTTTCTAAATCAAACAAATGGATGATAATATGATATACATGCTTTTACATTATTTATGAATCTGTACCAAAAAAATTTAACGTTGAGTAACAGAAAAAAAGAAAAAACAGAAATTTTTTTTTTTTTTTAACACTGAGTTTGATCAAAAGTACAAAAGGTACAAAAAAGGAGAAAATAAAACAGTAAATTGAGATGTCAGTAGACACCGTCAAAGGATAATAAGATAGAAAGGAGAAGTAGAGAACCTATATACCCACCCCCATCCTTACTGAGCTTCCAAGACGAGTAGATGATGTAGCCACGACGGAGCATTCCGAGCGATATACGACTGATGACGTCCGTCCCGAGTAACGCTNCCGAAAGTGAGTGATTCAGACTCCATGAATCAATTCTAGACAGAAGCCAGAAAATGCTATGACGGATGAGGCAATGAGAAGGGGTAGCAGCAGGATTGGTAATAGCGTCATGAAGGTAATCGGAAGAGGTCTCGAAAATTATATTTGAGAAATGGAGGTTATGCAAACACTCCACAGCCCAAAAGAGAGCCCACAAGTCAAAAAAACAGAAATTTTAAGCATGTATTGGTAGCTTTCACGAATATTAATTTTTCTTAAAATAATTTTTTTGTCAGCTCGTAAAAACATTCAATATTTAATTTAGATAATTCGAATCCACACGACCCATTTACACAATACATATATGTGGCCCACGTGAAATCAGTCCACAGTTTTGGTTAAATCCGGTTTGGTTTAAGCCCACAGAATTTCACTCAAAACCACAAATGCTAAAGCTCTACTTCCACCACTGGAGATTTCCGCCGTCACTAGCCGCCGTTAGGATGCTCTCATCACCACCACCAAAACCTCACTCCCATCCTACCGTCTCCGGCGTCGGCGCAAATTCGATCTCAACCGTTGAAAACTCTAAACCCAAGTTATTACTATCCACTCAATCCCAACTCCAGAACCTCTCTTCCTCTCCTCTAAAATCCACGGTGGCTTGTTCAAGCTCCAAACCTATCCGACAAAACATGACTACTGTTTCTCAATGCTTTTCGACCAAACCAGAAGCTGTCGAGTCAGAAAAAAGCTCACTCCTTGTGGTTTCTTTCTACAAGTTCGCTGATTTTCCTGACCATGCTGATCTCAGAAAGCCCCTTAAGGATCTCTGCGAAGAATTGGTATATACTTAAAAATCGAAACTTTAGTTTATAATTGATTTAAAAATCGAAACTTTGGCTTATATTTGTTGTAAAAATCGATACTTTAGTTTATATTTGATTTAAAAATCGAAACTTTGGTTTCTGTTTGATTGAAAAATCGAAACTTTGTTTTGTATTTGATTTAAAATTCGAAACTTTGGTTTTATATTTGAAGTAGTAAAAGATATGGATTTGTTTAGTGTGTTTCAGGTGGAATAATTCTTGCACCGGAAGGTATCAATGGAAGTATATGTGGGAGTCGTGAATCAGTGGAGAGAGTGTTGGCGTTTATACAGAGGGATGTTCGTTTGAATGGTTTGAGGCAAGTGGAGACGCCTGTGAGTCCTGAACAAGAAGCTATACATAGTGGACATAGTAGTAGCTCTCCTCTTGCAGCTGGTGAAGATGCTCCGTTTAGATGGGATCATGTTAGGGTTAAACTCAAGAAAGAGGTATACTCTAGTTTTTTTTTGAAGTTTTAGAGTGGCGGGTTTGTGGATTGTTGAGTTTTGTAATGTCTTTGTGTAGATTGTTACGCTTGGAATGCCTAGTGTGTCGCCTATTGAAAGAGTTGGAACATATGTGAGCCCTGAGGAGTGGAATGAACTGATCAGTGATCCAAAAACTGTGAGACCTCTTTTTGAATATAGGTTCATTTATTTATAGAGGACATAGAGTGTTTATGCATGTTAGAAGGTGTGTTTCAGGTAGTGATCGATGTGAGAAACACCTATGAGACTAGGATTGGGAAGTTCAAAGGAGCTGTGGATCCATGTACCACAGCTTTCAGGCATTTCCCATCTTGGGTGGAGAATCAGTTTGCGTTGAAACAAGGCAATGAGACGCAAGCAAAGGTGGAGAAAGATGAAACCAACGATAAAGAAGACAAAGATGAGGAACCAAAGGCGCTGCCACGGATTGCTATGTACTGCACTGGAGGAATCAGATGTGAGAAAGCTTCAAGCTTTCTTCTTAGCCAAGGCTTCCAAGAGGTAACGATTTTGAGAATATTCATTTGAGTTTTTGAGATTTAGCGCTTGAACATTTTGTTATCAGGTGTATCATCTAAAAGGTGGGATACTGAAGTACCTAGAGCAAGTCCCTAAAACAAAAAGTTTGTGGGAAGGAGAATGCTTTGTGTTCGACAAACGTGTGTCTGTGGAACATGGTTTAGCACAAGGAACACATAAACTCTGCTATGGATGCAAGCAGCCTATAAGTGATGAAGACATGGAAGCTCCAGAGTATGAATTGGGAGTCTCTTGTCCTTACTGTTACTCTGAGAAATCTGAAGAGGAGAAAGAAAGGGCAAGAGCAAGGCAGAGTCAGTTTGAGGAATGGGGTGTAATTGGTGGTCCAGATAAGGGTCGTCGACCCGACACTAAACCAGATAGTCCAAGAAAGAGCAGTGCCAAGCTTGGTGCTTCAATATAGATTTTGATGTTTAAGACTATCTGATATATCTTTTGTTGTTCCTATTGAAACCAAACGCTGGTCTCCTCCATATTTTTATAAAATCATTGTTATATTTGAGAGGTTTAACGCTAATCATCAAGGAAATGGATTTGTGTTTAACTTTTCTGTTGATATTTTGATTGCTTTTGGAGTCAATTTGAAGAACAAACAACATTAACGGCAAGTTGTTTCTTGTAGAGCGGCATAAAGTGTAAAAACAGTATAGACGGCAAGCTGTGCACGTTTCTACACGTAAAACGGCATGTAGTGTAAAGAATCCATTTTAACATCGACGACTGCAATGGCGTCTCATTGATTATCGTTAAAGAATCGTTGTGGGAATTTGATAGCGAAGGAGAGAGATCGAAGCTGTGATGATGACAGGAGGTGCACTCAAGCTCGTCAAGCCAAAGATCCAATCTGCGGATATCCAAGCCGCCGCGGGATGGGGTGTCGCCGCCGCAGCCGGCGCCATCTGGGTCGTCCAAGTAAGCCAATTTTCCTCTTTTCGATCACGGGCGGTAGATTTTCGAATTGGGTTTCACGAATTAGACTATGAATTGGAAGAAAAATGATTGATGATTGATGAACATTTTCAAAGTTTTGCACTTTCGTCGATCTCGTTAGACCCTAAAGGCTGTAACTTTATCTAAGCTGCGTTGTTGTATTTACATATAGTCTCATTTTAATTAAAGGGTCTGATTCAAACTTCTAAGATCTTTAGCTGCTCTTGTTATTTAGGATCTGTGATTGGTGTTATGAAGAGATTAGTGAGTTTTAAGATTAATTGACTTTTTCTCTTCGTAACTGGTTTTGTTTTGTGAACTGACATGAATCTTTTTATCTATCACAGCCATTTGATTGGATAAAGAAGACGTTCATTGATAAACCCGCACCTGAAGACAAGTGAGTGATCAAGATTCAAGACAAAGTGATCGTTTTTTTTTGTTTCTTCCAGTTTTCAAGTTCGTTATTGCATCTTTGCGATGTAGCTGAATAAATTTTGGTTCTTTTCTGAAAAGATTTGTTGCTATTCATGTCTTCAATGTAGACTCACACTGTTTTCTCAAATGTTATAACACAAAAGAAATACATTCCAAATCATCAGGAAAGAGTATCCATTTTGTTTTAAATGTGAAAGTGTATAATACAGATCAGGAAGAGCGTTTGAAATTTCAACCTCATGTTACTCTAATTCATAAATCAATTAATTATACATTAGTCGACTGACTCTGGCTGTAATGTCTGTTGCAACTTGCAATACAATGAATCTTAAAAAAAAAAATACTCTTGTTCCCTTGCCTAAGCCTATCTGAAAGTTCCAGAGGCGGAAGTAACCATAAAGAATGTAGACAACACTAAAGAGAAGCAGTGTATCTCTGACTACTCTCTTCACTAATCTTATGTACAGACAACAAGATGCTCCACCAACCACCAAATGTCTCTGCAATTCATGATGCGTTTGTAGTTGATGTTGATGCGTTACTTTCATTCATTCTCCTCTCAGCTGCTATAGCTGCAGCCACTGAGGGCGGTAGATCTCTCAGATTCTCCTGTCCATCTCCCTTGTTTTTTTCTGTCTCTTCTGCTGGTGGTGAAGCAAATAGACACTCGAGGTCTCTTAATGTCAGATTCTGTTGATCTTGATTCTTTGTATTCCTGCTGCTAAATGAGCTTACGTTTATGCTCTTACTTCTGTTCAGCTTGTAGATGCTGTCTTCCACTGTTCCCGTTACCTAGTTCCCACCAATAAAAGAGAGGTCAAGATCAAAGTGAAGCTGCACAAGACCAAGAGCGGCAAATAAAGCAGATGCACAAACCAGGAAGCGATGAACTAGAGTAGGCTTATCTTGTCCTATCCGGTGAACACGACCAACAGCTTGCGCTTCTGCAGCTGGATTTAGAAGCGGCTCCACTAGAATAACATGCTGTGCTTCCAGAAGATTAAGACCATTGGCACCATGCTGCACCAAAAGCAGTAGGACTTGGATCTTTTGGACTTCCTTCTCTGTCCCCTTGAATTTGCTAATAGCCGTCTGTGATTTCCTGCATTCCCATGGAATCGACGTTATAAAACTCCCTTAAGTAACCTATGCAACAACACTTTTACCTTCCTCCTTTCATCCGGATGAAAGTGATGCCGTTGGCAGCAAAGGCATGTTCCAACACATCAAGAACATCGTTCCAGCTGGAGAAAACAAGAACCTTCGCTTGTGGGTCACTTGACTTGATCCATAAGATTCTTCTAGTAACAGCTTCAATCTACCCCAAACACAGTATATGAGAAAATGAAGTACTACTTGCGGAAGAATCTTTAAAAGCACAGAGGCTAACCTTTGTTCCATATGAACCTTGAACAGCCAACGATACTTCGTTTTCTTTGTGATCTTGACCTGACGAATAACCGTTTTGTCTGTCATCAGCATACGCAATATTCCGAACATCTGTATGTTGCCTGCATATCGGACACATCACCCACTTTCGCAGAGTTTCATGAACTGAACCACGCTCTGTCATGGAGAAAAAGCCTGTGGAGAGACACAAAGATGCATAAAACAACGGCGAGTATATTTGTGTGCATGTAAGTCCTTATGATCAAGTAAGGTATTTACATTTACAGCAAGTGCCGTGCCCACACTGAAAAACCATCTTCTGATTTCGTAGGTTTTCATGACAAATCGGACATGCTTCCTCTCGCTTTAGAACGTTTTGGCTTTCCTGTTCAATAGGATTTAAAGCCTTAACTGTTTCCTCTATTGTTGAAGAGTGATCTTGACTCTCTTCTTGTTTGGTTTCTACCAACCCCTGAAAAGGATAAAAAATTTGTTCATATGTAAACTTTTTTAGTAACACAGACTTTAATGGCTTCTCTGCATAATATAAATAGAGGTAAGGCCAATAACAACAGTAAGGTAACAGGTTTACCTTCAAATAACGAAGCTTCCCTTTTATACTAAGCAAAGAGGATTGCGCCAAAAATTTATCATTTGTGTTCTGGACACTAGCAGCGTCTAACTCATCAAGGCTCAAAGCATATATGGCAGTGTCATCTTCAGATTCTCTAAGCTGTAGTCTCATTGTCGCCATCTTAATCTCATCATAGGCACGTAGGAGGTTAGCTTGAGCCCTAGCTAAGACCCTTGCATGTGCATATTCCTTCCTCATCACCTGAACCAAGATAAGAAATAATTACAAATGTCAGATCCGGTTAAAAACTTGAAAATGAAAGATATAAGTCTACTCCTTTCTCCATCTTACCTCAAGGGTTTGTAAATGTTTTGTGGCTGCCAATTTGCCTTCACTGTCTAAATAAGATTTGCAATGGTTTCTTATCACACCAAGAACTACTTCCGTCTCAGATGGAGATTTTGAAACCTATTATCAGAACAGAGAGAGCATAAAGCAAGTGACTTATTGGAGTAGGACCACACTGAAGATAGATCAAATGACTTACTATAACAGATTCGCCAGCATTTCTCTTGCTGGGTTCTTCGTTGTCAACGTGTGATGGATTTACATCCTTGTTTCTCGATGACAAACCAAAAAAGAAATGATCACGAGCAGATTTCTTCTTCTGCATATCTACTAACTCTTCAGCAGATGCATGTTCCATTGCTCCATTACGAGATTTGTTAAGACGGAATAGCCTAGCCTCATATTCCTAGGAAGACATGATGATGATGATGTCAGGTGATATTAACATCAATGAAACTCCACACAAACAAAAGAAGCAAACCTGGAATAGTTCATCTAGCGCGCAATGAATACAAGTAGGGCCATCATCTTTCTTATTACAATACTTGCAGTTACCAATACGCTCAATATCTTCCAGTCTTGGTTGCTCCATAGTCTGGTCAATCTCTAAAAGCTTATCTGTTACTGTTTTTCTAGAGCTTTCTAGCGTATCCATACAAGTCTGCAGATGAAGTTTCATCCCATGTATGCTTCTAAAGCTGTGAAATCAGGGAGTTTAGCAAGTTAGTTCTAACATGCTCGAGACATGTACCCCCCAAAACACATGAAACAAATATAACCGATCAATTGTTCCAATAACTTTTGGAGACACATGTGAATAAATATCAGCAACAAGAAGTCATGAAACTTCAATGTTAATGTACTAACCGAGAAGATTCTCTGGAGGAGCTTGAGTTGTTTAGGCTTCCATGGATGGCCTCTTCAATCTTCCTGGTCAACTCGCTGGTGAAATCTTTATTATGTTCAGCAAGTTGCAGGGCATCTAACCACCAAACCGAACGTTGTTTCCCTATATTGCTCAACGACTCGGAAACCTTCCAAAAATTTTCAATTATTAGCATTGCATCACACAGTGTGAGCTCCAGGAAACTAAGTGATGTCACAGTATTTAACCAACTCTTTGGCTAAGGGGTACAAGTAAGCTTATGTAGTAATGGAAACAGTTTTGAAGCATTGTGGTAGTTACCTGGTTGTAAGATTTTGTGAATTCGTGCTGTGCTGCAGAGAGCTTTGAGTTGAATGCAGATAAATACTTATCTTTCAATGTGTCACAAACTATATCCAGAGTCTTGCACTCTTCATGATACTCTCCATCCTTATTTAATCCACTGTCTGGAGCATTGATCCTTTGCCTTTTCGATGCACGATGATGATCGTCATCTTTTAAGTCTATTTCACTTTCCGGGTTTCTTGATGCTGAACCTTTTCCTCTGGAGCTTTCTACCAGTGGTAGTATCTCAGCTAGATTGTGAAGAATATGAATATTCAGCAACGGATCAAGACGAAAATCTTCGGCGTGTTCTTCAGTTATTCTTAACGCTTCCTTGTACAGTGATACTGCTTCGGAGAACTCTTGCTTAAGCATAGAAATACCAGCAATCCCATTTAAAGCAACAATCAACACTCTAAGAGCTTCTTCTCCCTCAATCTGAGTCTTTTTCAGAAGGACCTAAGAAAAAACTTCAATTAGAACAAAGTAACAAACCAAGACTGAAAAAGCTAACTCTTGCAAAAACCCACCGTTAGAATCTCTTCCATTGTCATTGGCGTTTGTTGCAATGAACGTAAACCAGAACTCCCTACTTGAGGGTGGCAACAAGCTTGGCGCAGTTTCAAGAGCGAGTTCAACAGTTTTGTAGCTTCGGCATGAGTGATTAAAGGATTATCAGAAGAACTATCACCTCTTCTGAGAATATCACGTTTCAAAGCTTCTATAACTTCACGGGCATAACTCACACAAGTTTCATGCTGCCTGCTATAAAAGTGTTCTTCAATTGCGGAGAATTTGAGCCATGAAACGCATTCCTCTTGAGGTGGAAGTTGCAACTCATCAGCCACATGGACTTTTGAAGAACGCCACATAACTTGTTTAAAAAAATTATGTGTAAACTCCATGGCCTTTGCGTCTCGTCTCTGAACAAAGAAAGCAAGAAGGTTGTTAGAGAGAATAATACCATTAAAAAGGTAAGGAAATGAACTCTTTTTCTGCTCAGACCTCATATGGGTCTCTTATAACTTCAGTCCACCATCTTGAAACATCGAAAGGATTTGCTTTAAGGAACCTTAATAGTCCATATAAGTCATCAAGTTTGCGTTGTATAGGAGTTCCGGTAATACACCAACGGTGTTTGGTATATAATCTCAGAGCCATCTCTGTTGCAGCAGCTGCATTGCTCTCCACCATCTGGGCCTCATCCAAGCAGATTCTCCACCAGAATATTCTGGTGAGTGGAGTAGGAATTACAGGATACCTATCACAATACAATATCTTTATGAAACTAATCTATATTGGCCAATTCAAAGAAACGTTTTAATAATACAGTTTTTGTTTCAACGTAGCAGGTAATGAAGAATGCGAAGAACAAGAGAATCCAGAATATCACCAAGCGCACCTTTTCTGGAATCTAAGACAATGCCGGTCACCATCACGCCTGTCGCAGTCATGAGTTAAGTCCTCTTTGAGGACATCATAGGTAGTTAAAACAATGTCAGCATTGAGGAGTTCAGAGATATCCACCATAGGTTCTTCGGAGAGTGAGGCATTCCTCACACCTTCATAGATACATGTCACCAGAGAACCCAAGCGCGTATGGCTACAAACAGGGGAGATGAAACAAGGAAAAGAGGACTAACATTAAGAGATAAAAACAAACTTCATTTGTGAAATTAATCTTGTTAACTGTAGCGAAGAATCTGAGTACCGTGTAATCTCGGAATGCCATTGCAGTAAAATCGGTGCTGGACAGACAATAAGAGTGGCACCTGTAGAGATGGGAGAGGCAGTGACTTGTAGAAGTTCAGAGCACATCTGGCAAATATATTCCCCTTGTCTGACAACAACTTCCACAGCATCTTTTTTGCTCTTCTTTTGAGATGTTTTTTCATCAACATCTTGTTGACTAGCTTTCTTACTTTTCCCTTTAGGTGAATAACCTACACAGTCTGCATGTTGCCAAGCATCACACATGTCACACTGTACCCAAACTCCTTTGTATTTTCGGCTTTCACTGACCGCTCCACATATGCATTCGACACGTTCCCTTTTCAATCTCTTCAAGCCAGTTTTTAAATCATCAGTTACAGGTGACCCATTAGACACTGATGTTTCATCCTCGTCTGGTTTTCGATGAGAGAAGATGCATGCAAGTAGTTCAACTGTTTTCCCCAATCCCATTTCATCTGCAGCATTAAGAAGGAAATAACACAGAACTTAACAAAAACTAATACCACAAGTAGACTTAAAAACATAACGCGTGGAAATCATTCTTCTGTGAATGGAAAGTCCAGAAAAGGTAAATTAATTTTCTGATTATACATAAGGAGGCAAGAAGAAGATGCAAGTTGTTCTTACCCGCAAGGACACCACCTGGAATTCGAGGTGAACAATACTCTGGTGTCAAAGAGATATTCCCACTACAAACAACCAAAGAATGACAAATGGACCAAATCAGTTAACAGTTGGAACTTTACTGAGAGAGACTTATACTGCTCATTGAACATTAAGAGGAGCTAAAGTTCAAAAAGACAAGGGAACCAACCTGAATGGGTTAAAGAACATTTTTGAAGCAGAGTCAAGAAACCCTATGGGAATTGACAAAGGTGAGATGAATTGGCTGTCTTCCTTGTCTTCAAACGTTACTGGATCTCCTCTCTCTCGCTGCACCATCCAATAAGCTGCACGTCGCTGGTACGGCCTAAGTTCTGGGAGCAAATCAGTTATATCATCTTCAAGCATCGCTTCCGTCCTGAACCAAATAATATGATAATAAGTCTCAGACATTTAACACATACAGAACAAAAAAAAACAGGTTTGCTCTACTCACTTCGATGGCTTTATGGCTTCATAAAAAGCAGTAGCATCAAACCTAGACTGTTTACTAGAGTCCAACGTTTCATCTTCTGTCACCATTGATCTCTCGTTTAATAATGTCCCATACCTAGCCTCTGATGTCATTACCTCTGGCCTCAACCAAGACATGACATTAACCATACTCTTTTTCCATATCTGCCTTGTGTTATCAAGAAGAGACTCACACACATCAAAAGCCTCCTGAAGTATCTCAACTCTAACTCTAGGAGACAACAACAAACCCTCATCACCAACCACAAGCCTCAAAGTCAAAAACTTGGCACTCACCAAATGAGCAAGACCCGAAACGCCTTCACCTGGACCATCAAAACCCGCAGACCAAACAACAGACCCAGAAGCTTCATTATCATCAACCAACTCCAAAGTCACATCACTAGGAGACAACACAGGCCAGTGACCAAGCTTAATCCGATCAACAAAACCAGCAACATTGCATAGACGAAACCTCAACGAACAATCCAGACCACAACCGTTATCGCACACACCTTGTCTTAAACTTAGATTAGTAAGAACAACTTCAGCTATATCAAAGTGTTGCTTTCCCTGCTTCTCACTTGAAGAACATATGCTCACATAATAAGGCTTATCAACATCTTCAACATTCTTCTTCTTTCTCCGGCGAGAACTCTCTGGTTTGTCCCCGGAAACTTGTTTTTCATCGGTGATTAATCCCAAAGAACGCTGTGGCTTCGGTTGCTTTCTCCTACCCATTACTATAAAACTAACACAGAATCAAGAGCACACAAAAAGCTATCAACTTTCGATAATTCAAGAACATATAATTCAGTTACGAACAGAGAACATAATTACGAACCTGTGAAGTGAGAGAGAGAGGATTCGAGTAAAGTTGATAACTTTGAATCGTCGGCTCGGACGGTGGAGGAGGAGGCGGAGGAGAGTCGCCGCAAGGTACGGTTTTCAAAACGACTTCCCGGTTTATCTGCGATTCGATGTAACCGACTTAAACTTGGTCAATGGAATGACATTTATACCCTCAAGTCATAAAGGAAATAACAATGTCACCCTCCTTGTGTTTACTTCTCTTTAGGAACTCACGTGATTTCAGTTAAACGGCCACAACTACAAAACCCTAATCTCAGTTTCTGGTGTTTGTTCTCCTTTGGTCGTGATTGATTTTGTTGTCGAAAGTTTGGATCTTTTTATAGAAATCTGAGTTTGAAAGAGATGAACAGAGGAAGAAGGAATCTGAAACAAGCAGCGTCAGAGCAGGACTTCACGCTTGAGGAATGGCAGAGCATCGTTCAGGTCGTCTCTCTCAGAGGTTCCAATCAAATTGAGGTAAAAGTTCTGTTATGTATTGATTAAAGTTTCAATTTTTATTTATGGGTTTGAATCCTGGCTTAGTTCTGTATGTATGTATTGATTAAAGATTGGATTTTTATTTATGGGTTTTCAGTCCTTTAGTCAATCTCAATGTGTTGGTTTAGTTCTGTATGTATGTACTGATTAAAGATTATTTTTTTATATATATGGGCTTGAATCCTGGCTTAGTTCTGTATGTATGTACTGATTAAAGATTGAATTTTTATTTATGGGTTACAGTACTTTAATTGAATTTCAATGTGTTGGCTTAGTTTACTGATTAAAGATTGAATTTTATTTTTTATTTCCATTTCATGCTATAGTTTTAGGACAGGTAGAGGTTCTAATTGGTATGTTCTTTAACTGTTGTTTTGTTGTGTTGTTTGAAGATAATGGATGCAAAAGGAGAGAACTCATTAGCATTGATTCCAGCCAAGTTTCGTGGGAGCATGTGGATCAGACGAGGTAACTTGGTGCTTGTCTCAGACTTGTTTAGACATAAGAAAGGAATATCCAACCATGCTTAGTGTTGTGTCTTAATCGTTTGACATGTTTCAGATATGATCTGGACTTTGTATCTTTCTTGAGTAATGTACTGCATGATGTGGTGTGTGGATGGAGGAGTTTGAGATGGTGTTTTTAATTGTTGTTTACTGATTTTACAGGAAGCTTTGTGGGGATTGACCATAGAGGAAAGGAAAAGGCGCAAGAATCTGGTAGCAAAGTCACATCTATTGTCTGTAAAGTTCTCTTCTTTGAGCAAATCCGTCTCCTCCAAAAGTCTCCTGAATGGTAAATAAAAGAATTGTTTCTTTGAACTGTAGTATAAATGAGGGACATCTAGTTTTTGTTTATCAAAGCACATGTTAAGTTTGGGTATGGTGAAATGCAGGCCTGAAATCTTCAGGGATGCTAAGCCAGTTCCAGCTGATGAAAGCTCTCAAGTACCCATGGCAGAGCAAGACGGTGAAATAGGTTCGAGTGATGAAAGTGATGATGGCATGCCTCCACTGGAAGCAAACACAAACAGGTTGAGACCGTTTGGAGTGCAGTGTGATGCAGAAACAGATTCTGAATCAGATTCTGACTCATAGAAAAGTCTGGTACATTCTTTTTGAAAGCCTTTGCTTTTGTCTCAATCAAGAGAGGGAACACTATAGTTTGTGAGATGTCCCTTACTAAACAGTATGTAACCAACTCAGAGCTGCTTAAATATGCAGAGTTTTGATTTGCAATGAATTTGATTATTGATCTATATGGCTCATACATGGTTCAGAGATGACCACTTGCTTCTCATTCTCTTCTTGCAATTATAAGTCTTCATATGAATTGACTATTGGTCTATATGGCTGAGTACATGGTTCACTGATTACCCCTTGCTTCTCATATTCTCTCCTTGCAATTATATAAGGAACCAGAAGAGGAATACAAATATGTGAAGAAACAAACTCTACTGAAGTTTCAAATGTTATACACGGCCATACCTAAGATTGTTTGTTCTAACATTACAAGAACAAGTTAAAATAATCAAACATAAGTTAAACCATTTATTTTCATGAGCTAAACCATTTATTTTCATAAGTTAAAATAATCAAACATATTATCTAAGGTGCCCAAGGAGCTGGTGGCGGAGGCACGGTCGGGAACAAAGGAGGTATTGCAGAGAACATGCGGTTTTTGTCAAACATGTTTCTCTCTCCGGATAAGGCGGCTAGAGCGGCCACGAGACCCGCATTGCCTGTTAGTGTCGGCTCTGTGTAATTGGCGTTGGTACGAACATCATAAAACACATCATGCCCGTCAGGTCCAGCAACCATTGCTCCTTCAATCACATTAGGGTTGTCCTTTGAGCTTTCTCTCCAGATCCAGCCTCCTTTGCAGCTCTCTTTCCTGTTCTTGGGTATCGAAGCGCCTCTGTGGTGTACTTGTTTTGGGTACCGCTCTCCAAATCCCACAACATAACTAATGTTTTGAGGATTCTTACCCAGTATGTAGTCAATCTGCATGAAACAAAAAAGACTTAGTTCATATAAAGATGATTTACTCTGCTTTATGAAGGGAGGGATGCTTACTTGTGATCTCGAGAAGTCTCGTAGTACATAAGTGAAGTAGGAATTAGGCCCACATGACCATCCACGAGTATCAGAAACATCAAGATAGTCACTGTATAAAGCCGCAAGGAAAGCCGCATTTGCAGCATATTCCAGAGGCTGTGCATCTCCTTGTAGCCGGATCAAACCTCCTATATGACAACAAAAGAAAGGTTATACAAACTCTTTGAGAGAAAGAATATATAAAGACAACTACTACCTTTGGTTCTTTTAAACGTGTTGAAAGACGGCAAGTAAGAGCACATAACAATGCTGATTTGATCATGATATTGTCTCAAAACTTCTTCAGCTGGATATCCGGGACTTAAGAACAGCCTCAATCGGGTCATAAGCAACTAACAGTTGGTTAATAATGATAAAACATCAGTTCCGGAAAAACATACATAAGAAAAGTGTTTATATAGAGTGTAACACTATTACCTGAGCTCCCGCGAGTTTTGTGTTCCAACTGAACACATGACCAGAGTCACGTGAAGGATCGTGTGCCAAGGCAAGAGTTGTTACTCGATCAAGGTAACTTACTTCTCCTGTAGCGTAATAGAGCCAAACTCCACCCCATAATAGCTCATCCCAGGAGCTACTTCCGTCTTTCTCTTTCATAGAGGACTCCGCATATTTATATAGAATTTTCGCACCGTGTATTAGCCTTTGAGAATACGCTACGTTTTCACTGAAAACCATGGATGCTGAGGCAAGAGCAGCCGCCATTTCTGCAGCAAGACTAGGGCATTCACCGATGCATATATGGACGTGTCTTTCGTAGTCAATGTCCTCAGGACGCATCCAGCAGTAACGTTCAGTTCCTACACGTCCCACCTGTTTAAAAAGAGGAGAAAAAAATTGTAAGAAACAGATTGAAAATATGCAAAGTCGTTTTGGAAATATTATTTTATTGTGTAACCTGTGACACCATATCATGGATTGTATCAGCAGCACTAGTGTCAAAAGTCTTGAGAAAATAGTCAGTTCCCCACTTGATAATCCCTTCAACATGGCTGAGTTCGCCAAGTTGTTGGTACTTGGAGTGATATTCGATCACACTCCAACTCAACATGGTCATTGCAAAAGACATCTTGAAGTTAGACTTTATTGCGTCACCACCATCATAGTAACCTCCAGACAAGTTTGGATGGATGCTCCCTGGATACTTCCCGTCTTGCATACATGAATCCCCTCTCCACGTAACGTTATTGTCGTCTGGCAAGTGCCCGGCTGATACAACAAAAGCAGAGAAGAGTTAAGATTGTTAGATACATTTTATGTTAATTATACATTCCTTTACACGTATAATGAATTGAATATATACAACTCGATGTTTCATATTCTCAATAGGATCAAATCTCAAGAGATATAATTATATGTGGTATCTATCATTAAGATATATTGTATCTAACATTAAGAGTAATAATTTAATAAAATATACTAAGTGTGTTTTGTTTTCACTTACAACGCTGGCTGTTGAAGAACTTCAGTCCGGTGTGAAGCGCAATGCTGTAAGCTTCAGGCGGTTGTTGTTGTTGGTAGTGTTGTCGATGCGTTTTGCGAACTCTGATCGTTATCGAACACGCGATAACCACCACAATGCCAACGAAGGCTAGCGTCCAGGCACAGGTATGTTTCCTTATAGTTGTCTTCTTCTTGACTTTTGGAGAGTGTTGCAACAGCCAGCTGCTTTGCATCTCTTCCGACGGCTTCGGAAAAGCCGTCCAATCCACATCTTGCATCTCCACCTCCCTTCGCATCTTTTCTCCAGACCTAGTAAACAGTCACAGGGAAAGAAAGAGATCAGACGATTGAAACACTTAGGATCAAGAGTTTTCGTGGGAGCTTTTACAGACTAAACATGAAGAAATTTTTTTTTTGCAAATGTGATGTGATGAATACTAAACATAAAGAGTATTCGATATTCGCATTGTTGTGCAGAAAGTGAAGTAGCAAAAACCTTCCAAAGAGTAGTGAAACTTAAGACCTTCAAAGATATCAACTAAACTGAGTGATTCTGATGATTTTCAAAATGCTAAAGACTTAAGCAGAAACGTTGCTTCTTCAAGCATTAGCTTATTCTAAGAGCATAATGAAACAGAGGGAAAGCTTTCTTTCTTTTAGTGTATTATCAAAATGGACGGACGGACACTCTGGTTTCTGCCATACTCTTTTGCTTGATAGAGTAAATGGACACGTGGCGATCAACAGTTAGTTCTCTCTACATATTGTGGACCTAGATTCGTTTAGTAAAATTTTCAGAGTGGAGCTGTGATATATTTGGTACCCAAACGTCGTGAGCACTTCGAAAAGTTCTTACCAAATTAAGACAATGGACCCATGTAACAACAAAGCTAGCGACTAAACAATTAACTGATCAATAGGTTTAAATTTTGTAAATCAAACACCACAAATCATATGAATATGCCTTGACATATAAGTAGAAGATGCCCCCACAACGAAGTCTGAACAATTATTGATCTAAAATGTTACCAAAACTCATACACACACACACACACATATATATATATATTCACACATATATATATATATATATATATATATATTGTTTTTTTGATGGTTCATATTATTATTGTCCAAAAAAAGAATCTTATTATACGGTGCTCTTCTATTTCCAAATTATTATTTTTAAAATTCAAAAAACAGAACAAAAATAAATTTCATGAGAATCAAAAGGTCCTTTTTGTTGCTGTAGGAAAATTTTTATAAGTCGTCATGTGTCCACTGATTAATCTTAAATTGAATTTAATATAAAACTATGTATGTACTCTCAGTTATATGAATAAAAACAATATTTAAAACATGATATATTCTGCATTATTCTGGTTTGTTGAGTAGTAATTAGACAAGAAGATTGGCAACTAAATGTGAAGAAGAATGAGAAAAAATCCAAGTGAAACTGAAATTTTAATGAGCATCAGAATATCACGAAACCATTATTTCCATACCACTAGAAAAGAAAGGAACATAAGTGCACATAACCAACGATAACAAAGGTGTAAATATCATTCAAGAAAAATACTGAACTAACCTTTATGAATTCTTCGTTGAGATGGATCGTCGTAAGGTAATGGCTTTCTACTGCTATAGCTAGCAACGAGAAATATGTGGAGAAGACAAAAACCCCAAGAGAATGAATTTATAGCTGTAATGGATGTTGTGGTGCTAGTGAATTCTTTTCTCATACTAAAACATTATATTACTAAGTTTTTGGGAATAACTTTTCTAAAAGTATATCTATTATCAGTTGTACTTTTAAAGTTTGTTTAACTTTAAAATTGAAGTGTTTGTATCCGTAACAAAACTTTGTATTTAACTTTAAGAAAATTACATTATAATCTTTAATATTGATCAAAATTGGTTCAGTCATAAAAATTTACAAATAATAATGTATACATTTAAAGGTCACTAAAACAGTATTACTAAATAAATTATAATATTTTAATAAATAATAATTAAACAAATTATGAAGAGTTTTAGTGTTCACAACTGAGAGAACAAGAATAATGAATTTGAATACTGATGTGGTGCATTGCGGGAGATTCTTGATTTTAGATGCTTACTTGTTTTGCATTTCTTTTTTATGTTTTAACTTTTAAATAATTGGATGATGTTTTTCTATTTACGGAGTCTCTTCATTATGGTTTATACTCCAATTTCTACTATGTGTTCTGCAAGGTAATTACATACTGAACTTGCCTTTTTTGAATTCTTCATCAGTTATAGTCTTTATAGATCATCATATTTTTCCCTAGTTCACTAAAGTCATGTAAATCATCGTATTTGCAAAGAGTTTCATAACAAATCGTAGTATTTTTTTTAATTCACTAAAGTCATACTGTCAAGTAAATTTATTCATTTTCAAATATTTACAGATCCTAAATTGAATACACCTCTTCTAAAATGGAACTGAAGGATTAATAATTTTTTTATAACAAATTGCAGTCTAAGTATTGTTATGGAAACTCACTATATTTTTTTTTAACTGTGGAAAACTCACTATATTAAAAACTATTTTAAGTGTTTGGATCGATATATGTATAGCTTTAAAGAGTTGGTTATATATTTTTGTGAAATATTATGCGATTTTGCACTTATAGGTAGTTACAATATTGAGAGATGAAGATGTTGCGGCTGACTAAATTGATTAATAACATATCTGTGATAATGTTTTTATTTTTATCTAAGTGGTGGAGTTATTTTTTTTTGTCTGATTTCTTTTAAGTCAGACATCCAATATGATGTATGTTCTTATGCGTTATTTGTAGGACTGTTCTAGATTTTTTTTAACTATGTACTTTAATTTCAAAGTGTATGAGGCAGTGTTTTGATACTCTTTTTTGTTTCTTTTAGGAGTGTCTCAATGATTTAGTGATGTCATGTGTATGGTATTTTTAATTGTTTCATTTATTAGATCTTGTTTCTGTAAAAATAAATGTTTTGATTATGTATTAATCATTGGGTATGTTTTTTTGATAATTTTAACGTTAAGTTTGGTAACCACAAAATAAAGAAGGGACTTCAATATACGTCATCTCCAACCAGATAATCTATTTGCATGATTTATTCTGATGATTCAGATTTTTGATACTGCTTGTTTGTCTATCTAAATGGTTCATCTATATGAATATTATGTGTTGTTTGAATTCTTTTTTTTTTCTCGTTTCTCTGGGTGATGAAATAAAAAAATGCAAACGTATTTCTTTTCTTTATTTATTCTTATGAATTTTTTCTATTTATTCTTAAAATTTATATATATTTGGATTAAATTATGTATTTTTATTAAATTATTATTTGTTGACTAAATTTTGCACCAAACTCAAGTTATATTATGTATTTTCACTAAATTATTTGTTATTTAAATTTTTATAATATCTTATTTTAGTCCAACTGATTTTAGTAAAATATTTATTAATCCTTGGTTTGTGCTTTTCATCTTTTCTTTCTTAATTTCTTTAAACTTGAGTTTAGTGTCCAAAAACGCAAGTGGGATGATATTAACCTTTTATTTTTGCTTAGAATTGATGAAATGTCAAAAAATATTGTAAATAAATTTCTCTTCCTTTTTGTTCATTTTGTTTTGTTGTGTAAAAGGGTTTAAAATTAAATTAGGTGTCAAGATAGCATTGAACTCGGGATATAAGAGTGTAAGAAGGGAACTGTTTCACCAACTGAACTATGGTGATTCATTTTTTTCCCCTTTTATTTTGTATAGATTTCTCCATTTATTTTTTGAAATATGGCTTTTTAAATTATATTATTTAGTTGTTACTAAATTATTATTTGTTGACTAATTTTTTCACGGAACTCAAATTATATTATGTAATGTTACTAAATTTCTATTGCTTTCTTTTATATCAAGTTCCAAACTTTTTTAATCCTTATTTGATAATGTATTAATCACTAGTTTTGATTTTTATATCATTTTTCTGATCTAACTTTAATTTAGGTGGTAGAGAAAAATACAATATTAATATTAATATTTTATTTTATTTTCATTAGTCTCAGTTTGACGAAGCAAACATAGTTTTATCTTTTTTTTTGTGTTCATGAATTTCTTCAATGCCACTGAAATAATTAAATGAATCTATTTTTAAGGAATCTTTGTTTTTACCTATTTTATTCAATTATTTCCTAAATAAATTTTATCTAAATTTTTGTTTCTAACATATTTCCTAAAATGATTTAACTAATATTTAAGAATACTCAAATTTAAAATCAATTTTAAAAAAATATTAAATTAGATATTACTACCATTAAGTATTTTAAAAAATTCAAATTTAAAATCAATATTAAACAATAAAAATATTCCTAAAATATATGTTTCACCATTACTATTACCATTGATTATTTTGAACAATAAACTCTATATATGTTAAGATTTAAATATCTTTAAATTAGTTGTAGAAAAATATAAAATGTTTGTAACTAAATATTTCTTTCTAATATAACTAAATATCGCCTAGAATTATATATATTTCAAAAATTTCAGAAATATATATTTACCCATTTCGGTTACTATTGATTATTTTCAATAATAAAATCTATCATAATAAAATTTAAATATTTTTGAATTATTTGTAGAATAATGTTTAATATTTATAACCAAATATCATTTTTCTAACTTATAAAAATCTCACCATTTGGTACTATAGATAATCAAAATATTTAAAATATGATTACGTTTAGAAAAAAATTAAGTGTAAAAAAAATTAGTGTAAAAATAAATAGTACTGAAGTATATCAATAGATTAATATTTGTCAGAGGTTTAATAATTCACACAGATCATTATTTTTACATATTTGATTATTGTGTTTATAAAAAAAATTAAAATATGATAAATGTTTATAATATTAGCCGATAAACATGTAAATAATATCCATGTATATAAAAATATAAAAAATACCTTCGCGATGATAAATATTTAAAATATTAACTGATTAATATGTAAATAATATATATGCATATAAAAATAAAATAAATATATGTGCGGTGCGCAGATCTAATATTTATTAATCTTTTATATACTAAAGCACAAGTCACTCAGTCAATCATATTTTGCCATGTGTTAATTTTTCAAATTATTTTTAATATATAAAAAATACTAAAAAGAAAAACAGTTTCAAACAATCTTCTGCCAATAAAACAAAAATAAAATGAGGAAAAAAAATGAAAGTATAGCAAAAAAAATGGTTTCAACCCTTCTGAGCCACTATCTCTACCTCCTTCTCATACATA